CTATCTATCTATCTATCTATCTATCTATCTATCTATCTATCTATCTATCTATCTATCTATCTATCTATCTATCTATCTATCTATCTATGTGTTTACTGTCCTCCAGAGGTTTCTCCTGTCGACACAAACACAGTCCACTGACATGAGAACAGCGTCTGAATAAAGAGACACCGGCTGACATTTAACACCATCAGCCCATGTTCTGTTCTGTCACTGTAGACCGGACTCCGAGGATGCAGGCATGAATATGAATGAGAGTTTTTTCTCCCTCTGTCAGGTCCCCTGGTGCGTCTGGTGGGTGGCAGCAGCAGGAAGGAGGGTCGAGTCGAGGTGTATCTCCATGGCGACTGGGGAAGTATTTGCGACTCGGGCTGGAACGACCTGAATGCGGTCGTCGTGTGCAGACAGCTCGGACACAGGTAAACGTTTACGGGTAAAGATTTTTTACATTTTTTTATTTCAAATAGCGCCAAAGCATCCCATCCTCTCGTTTCTTCTCCAGCGGTGGAGCGGTAGCAGCCGGAGGGTTCGGTCAGGGGAAGGGACCCATCCACCTGGACCAGGTGAGGTGCACGGGGAAGGAGGAGTTCCTGGGGGAGTGTCCCTCTCTGGGTCAGAGCATCCAGGGCTGCAGACGGAGGGAGGACGCCGGGGTGAGGTGCGACGTGGCGCCGCGGGAGCCGTCGGTGGTTCCGGTCAAACCCCAGGAGCAGAGCTGTGGGCTGAGGAAGCTGGTGGAGGAGGAGGAGGGCAAGAGGAGGAGCCGAGGAGAGGAAAGCACGCTCAGGTAGGAGGAAATACAGCCAGACAGAAAGAGTTTAGAGTGCATGTTACACTGTGAAAAAAAATCATCTATAAAGAAACAAGAGCAGAAAAATTAAAAAGGTGGAATGCTGCAGTGTTCAAAGACTGTGAAAACTGTGAAAATAAAAGCAAATATCTGTAAAATAATTGGATTTTAAGCTGATTTAAATACAGTATTATGGTGTAATTTTACAGTCACACATTACAAAATACCTCATTTGTAAAAAATTCAGACTTTAGTTTTAGTTTCCTGTCTTTTATTTTTTTTGACAAAAAAAAAATCACAATCTTCCTCTGCCTCTAATGCAGCCGAAGATTCTCTAATGATGCTGCCATCACCATGGCAACTAATTGGAACTTTGTACCATTACATGCTTCCACAGGAAAATTCATTAAAGTGATGTACATTAATAATTTACTGTAATTTATCAGAAGAGGGAAAATCTCTAAAATAACAGTTTAGAAAATATTTACAATTTGTTTTACAATTTCAATCCTAATATAGATATTTTTTCCCTTTGAATAATGTCAAATATCTGTAAAACAAGAATATTTTTTGGATTTAAATAAACTAAAAGTATTGTGAGATGTTGGAAAAGAGCAAATTATCATTTATAAAAACACAGATTTTTTTATGTGGACATAGAATACTCATTTGCAGTGATTTTACTCGTTATCTGTAATTTAACTAAACAAGAAAATCTGTATCACAGCAAATTGCCTGTAAATAAACTCTGATGTGTAAAATCAGTGACGTTTTCCTTTAAAACTAGATTTTCAAGGCTTTCTGCAAAACAGCGTCGCAAAATTAGTCGTCAGCTCAACTCACTTTGGTTGAGTTCTGTTTTTTTTTTTCTTTCTTTCTCTGAGAACAAACGTGTTTATATACATAATTTAATGCAGACTCATTATTCATGTGCTTGTATGTAATTCAGACAAACAGTGATCCGTTCACCGAGTCGTCGCTTCGTAGCTCGACTACATGGCAGATTTAATTAAACTGACATGAAGCGACATGCACAGCTTTTAGGGCTCTGATGTCTCGGGGCAGTTTGAACCATGTTTCATGCAGTAATATTATGTTCACTGGCTGCTTCCCATTCTGCTGTGAAGAATTTAAAGTTTTCTACGGTGCATTTCCTTCCTTATATAAACATTTAATGTGCATGAGGAGACAACAAACAGAACTCTAATTTTAGGAACTCAAAACTGACAAGAAAGATGCATGTAATTTTGTTCAGGTCCACGTGGCCCTGGCAGGTGTCGGTGTGGCTCCAGTCCCAGGAGGAAGCCGACGGTCCCCTCTGCAGCGGGACTCTGATCAGCCCCTGCTGGGCCCTGACGTCTGCATCCTGTGTGAGCAGGTGAGTCCGACGCTGAGCGATGAATCTGCACCGGAGGCGTCTTCCGGCACGAGTCTAAATCTATCTCCTCCTCCTCCTCCAGGGTCGGCAGCGACCCGTCCAGGTACGTGGTGCGAGTCGGGGGCTCGGAGCGGAGCCTCAGCCCGGAGCAGGTGGTGGTCCACAGGAAGTTCAAGGGCCAGAGCGGAGGACACGATCTGGCTCTGCTGAAGCTGCCCAGCTCCAAGGGCCACTGCCTGACCTTTGACCCCAACACCAACGCAGCCTGCCTCCCTACAGCTGACACCGTGTCGGGAGGAAATACTCCAGCATCCTGCGTCGTCATGGTTACCGCCGGATGGGCAGGGCCAGGTATGTGTTCTACCTGTTGCTGTTTGTGTCATAGATGGATGGATGGATGGATGGATGGATGGATGGATGGATGGATGGATGGATGGATGGATGGATGGATGGATAGATAGGTAGGTATGTAGGTAGATAGGTAGGTAGGGAGGTAGGTGGATGGATGGATGGATGGATGGATGAACAATGATTTATTCATATATAACCTGTCATTTATAGTTTTTGACTGCAGAGGTTAACTCTGACATGTAAGCGCTGGTTTTGGGGAATGTGGGCTACAAAAACTGTCACTTCATTACTATTTATAGTGAGAAAAATCCATCACTGATCCCCAGAACTCAGGGTGACGTGTTCCAGTAGCTGGTTTTGATGGATATTCAATAAAACAGTGACGAGAACAGAGAAAAGCATCCAATCTTTACATTTGTGAAGCTGGAGCTAATGAATAATCAGTGGCCACACCAATACTTCTGATCGTTTATTACAGACAGACAGTAGAGAGAGACGACCAGAAACACAGGAGAGAGAAAACGATGAAACGAAACGTCTCCGTCTGGACTGTTGATGCTCCCGTTTTTAGTTGGTAGAGAAATATCTTGACTGAATAAATTGCTGTGAAATCTGACACAGATTTCCATGTTTCCCAGAAGATGAAGCCCGATGATTTCCTGACTGTTCCTCTGGCGCCACCATGTGGTCAATGTTTGTAGTGTTTAGTAACAACTATCAGATAGATTGCCTTGAATTTTATCGTCCTCCGCAAGATGAAACTGAACCACTTTGGATCCCTTCATGTTTCATGTAGCAGCAGCACTTTGTTTTATCACCACATATCCATAACAGAAAGCCTCAGCTGCACTCTGAGAGCTGTTATAAATGTCGGCAGTAAAGCTTCACACAGCTGCAGACTCTCGTTATTGTTGCTTGACTGAAATTATTGCTTGACGGCCAAATCTAGCAGATGGTTTCCCCTTCAATCGTCTCCTCCATCTTCTCTCCTAGACTCCGTCGTTGCATCCTGGGTCCCTCTCATGTCGTCATGGCAATGCAAGAAGCGCTACGGCGACAGCTTCTCCAGTCACGGCACCCTGTGCGCCGGCAGCCCTCCAGACACCAGCCTCCTCCACGGCGACGGTTGCCAGGGCAACTCCGGAGGCGGGCTGCTGTGTCAGGGGGAGACGGGTCGGTGGGTGCTCACCGGGGTTGTTGCCGGGGGTTACGGCTGCTCCGACCCCTCCTCCCCCGCCCTCTACACGCGAGTCAGCCGCTTCAGGAGCTGGATCGACGAGGTCACCGACGCACGAGCGCGCCCGGAGGAGCCGCACGCCAACACGCAACAAGTGGACAATGACATCACTCTCGTGGACAATGACATCGCCCTCGTGGACAATGACATCACACATGCGCACGGGAAGCTGAAGCGCGTGCACGATCAGCAACCGACGAATGAGATCGGCGAGGTCAAACACGCGCACGCTCACCACTCGCACGCCAACCAGCACGCTCACGCTAAAGGCGGCGCGCACACAAACACACAAATGGTGGTGTGATGGAGGCCGCCGGCTTTACCACCTTGTGCCATGTGACCGCCTGAGGAAGAGGAAGGAGAGCAAACTCTAAGAGCCAAACAAAAGTGAAAGATGCTCCCAACTTAAGTCTAAAAAAACCGGCCGTCTGTGTGCTCATTTTCAAATCTGAACTCGGTGTTGTGAATCCCAAGTGTTTGCTAATCGTCGGCTGAGTGCAGCAGTGTGGGCAGAGCTTCCTGAGCTGCAGGATGACAGAGTGTGTGGGTGATGTGTGGTGCTTTTTACATGTGAGTTGCAGCCCAGAGCGGCAGGTTCATCAGCATGCCGATCGGGGGGTGGGGGGGCGTTTGCCGACACTGAAAATCTAAAAAATCAGCATGGCATGTATCTTAAGGACAATAGCGTTAGACGTTAACATATTCGGGGGGACAATTTGAAGACGGTCACGCGAGAATCTATGCTAATTTCACCTATTTATGTGTCTTCTGTGTGAGTTCTTAGAAGATTAAAAACAAGTAGGCAGCAGAACATCCAGTGTAAAGGCTGACTGTGCATCACTAGTGTCCCTCTGAGATGATTCATGTAGATAAAACCCCAACTTAGGTTTTTATATTAAACAAAACAATCCCATTTCTTTTTCAAACAGGGCTTTTCTCTTCAAGCTGTTGTCTTATACCTTTACTGGTGAAAGTGCTGTTGTTCATTTAGACCCACGACTAAGCTGCTCCACCGAGGACCACACCAGTGACTCAGCAGGTTTTAGTGCTTCTAGAACCGCTGTTCTGACTGTTTTAAACACCAAATTTCTCTTCAATCAGGCCAAATGTTTGATCCCTAATGATGCTTCCAAACTTATCATCCGAATACATCCCACAAAAACTGAGAGTGCTCTTTACAGAATGCGATGAGGAGATTGGAGTATTTTGGAAAGAAGTAATAAAAGAGATGAAAAAACATCAAGGAAGTGCATCAAAACTGACCTTTTTCAACCTGATTCAGTGTCCCAGTGCTACTTAATGTGATTTTATGATTTTATAATGAATATTCTTCACATAAGCATTCCCTGTTTGGATTTATATGAAAAATCTGACTTTCAAAGGTGTCAGATCCTTTAGTTGTTTTGCTAAACGTGCATCATTACTGAGAGGTACAAATCTTTCAAACCACCCTTCGACAATGATGCAGAAAAACACGATTGGGCTTCGAGGGAGCGTTACAAGTGCTGCAGGAGCACTGGGAGCAGAGCATCCCTGCACGAGGGGATTACTTTGAGTGGGATGTTTTTTTTATAGGTACAGTCTTTGAGCTTTTTAGTTGTAATTCGTAGACGTTAGTATGTACGATGTAATGAACATGGCACACCACCTCAGTCACATTTCCTGTGTCACATAAATGCATTTTAGGCTTTTTGTGCACCAGGAACGTGCTCGTGGTTGGTAGTGCGACGCAAATTTGTCTTCATTTGCTCGTCCCAATGCTCTGCACGATGACTACGCTTCGGTTTTGTGCCCAAATTGTCGCTCCAAACCCAGCAACTTCTTCCCAAACTCAAAACATTCAAAGCTTATCTTTTTGACAGCTTCAAGAGTCTGCCAATTGATTTTCTGGTTGTGTCCATACCTTCCTGTTTTCAAAGAGCTGAAACATGCCGAGACACTGGTAGGGTCCTTTAAAACTGTACTTTTAAAGCCATCGGAAGCTGCCTGTCGGGTCGTGGATATCCTTTTTGTACTGGCTCTAGATAAATAGATAGATAGATAGATAGACGGGAGCTCAGATAGACGCATAGAGTTTAGGTAGTACGTGTCCTGCATTCATTCTAGACCGAGTTAGAAAAGTTAAATGTTGTCCGTTCCGTTGTCCTCTGAGCAGATCCGACCAGGAGGTGGCGACGTTGCTCTTCTTTTCAGAGGGTGATCCGTTGGACTCGCCGACGGTTCTTTTTTTTATACCGTAAGTGTTTGGACTTGTGCTCGATGTTCTGTGAAGCCATTGTGTCGTGAAGCATCTTGTGACCTGCTACTGCTGTTTTCTCCATTGTGGACCTGCCCCGCCCCGCCCCCCCTAAAGCCTGTTCTTATATCCCTGTACATAAACTCAGGCCTCCTCCCTCCAGACTTGATGTCGGACCGATGCAGGTCCTGTGGGGTTCCTGTAAATACAGGGGGGGCGCAGAGTAAAGTGTTTAGGATGTACTTCACCTGTGTTTAAAGCCATCAGCTGTTCCTCAGTGTACTGTGCAGAATCATGGTTGAGTATTAAAACGTATACCTGCTGAGAACAAGTTGGTCTCTCTTCTCTGATGTTTTATCAACACCAGTGTGCAAAGCTTCAAGCCTTCATCACCAGTCCGCACGAAACTTGAAGCTCTCCGGACGTGCAGCCCTACAGAAGCCGATACACGGGTTTTATGGACTAGAACAAAAGAGCAAAAGATTGCTTACAGAACGTTTATGGCTTTCAAGTAATTGAAAAGTAAATCTGCTTAGCTGCTGCTCTCGGTCACCCATGAGCGCCGCTAATCTTTTCTTTTGTTCGGCTGGTTTCCCCTCTGAAAAAAAACGAAGTGGGGGGATCAGGACCCTCTGTGGAGTGGATCGGCCGGTTTCTATTGAAAACTGGAGACCAAAGTGATTTCTAATGAGGGTAATTGAGGCAGCCTTTTGGGATGTAGCTGGTTGTTTAGAAATCTGCCTGAAAGATGTGAAGTTAATGATTTTTTTTAGGGATTATCTGTCAACAGGTGGTTCACCAGGTTGGATGAAATGCAGCATTTAGATAAACGCATGCATTAAAGGGCGACTTTAACAGGAGCAACACTTCTTAAAGGAAGTTTATTCTCTTTATTTATGCTTTAAATGATTAAACAGTTTTTACTTTTCATCCCCGGGGTTGTTTATTTTACTCCTCTGTTTAGTATTGAGTCATTAACTTTTATCCATTTACCCTTCTTTGCTTACTTTTTGTTTGTTTTCTCGTTCCCTCCTCAGTTGAATACTACGATCAGTACATAAGTAGAGCAGCATTATCAAAAATATACGTATCTGTGTTACATGATTAATATCGTGGCTGCATTCAAACGTGAGCAGCTGTTCATGAATGTCAGGTCAAGGTAAGTTTAATTAATTACAGCATTGCTGGGTAGTTTAATTTCTAAATATACACCATATTTTCCATCCATCCATCCAGTATCTAAACACCGCTACATCCTCACCAGGGGGGCTGGAGTCTATCCCAGCTGACTCAGGGTGAAGGCAGGTTCACCTGGACAGGAAACCAGTCTATCACAGGGCTACACTTAGAGACAGACAACCAAGCACACTCACATTCACACCTACGGACAATTTACAATCACCAATTAACCTCAACATGTTTCTGGACTGTGGGAGGAAGAACCCGGAGAGAACCCACGCTGCACGGGGAGAACATGGAGACTCCACGCAGAAAGATCCCGGGACGTGAACCGGCGACCTTCTAGCTGCTAGGCAACAGTGCTAACCACCGAGCCACCTTGCAGCCCCGCACTATAATTTATTTACATATATGATATAATGCATCCAAGATCTGATCCAACCGATTGTTCAACAGTTTTTATCTGTAATTCTTTGAAAATTTTCTGTTATTTTACAGACTATTTAAATTACAGATACTAACGAGTAAAAACACAAGAATAAAGTATTCATATACATGCTGACCCCAAATAAACAAAACAAACAAACAAACAGCTAAAACAAAAACATCCACATAAAAAAACTATATTTTCACAAATGCATTCTTTCATTAGACAACATTATCTTCACTTTGTTTAAATCGACAAAAACTCTAATTATTTAACACGTATTTAAGATGAGATCAACTTTATTGATCCCTCACAGGGGAAATGTTCAGCAGCTGGAGTGAAAGTGTCCCCTGTCTGCGCCAAATATTCTGATATTCATCATTAATTGGGCCTGAATATCCAGAGACCAGAAAGTTCTACTGGGACCAGCCCTACTAGTTATTATAACAACTATGAACGATAAATATTAACAACTAATGAGCCTTTTAGCATCAAGCCCTCCTTGTATCTGGACCTCCGTCTTGACAATCTGACATAGAAGAAGGTTTTACATTTAGTGTCGGATTATCGAGTCATGGTTGTATTAATAAATACATAAATAAATCAACATTTTGGTAATTAAAGCTGAATTAAAGTCAAGAATTTATTTCAACATATCCACAACTTTTATGATGTTAAATCAAATCCTGTAAAAATCTACAGGACATAAACTAGATGCGAACCTCCTCACATGAATAAAAAAGCAAATGAATAAATGTAGAATAGTAAATAAATAAAACTTCCCAAATACAAGCTGATGTACGTAAATGTAGAAATACATCCGAGATATTCATTTAACAGTGTCCCTTTTTCATTATTATTAATTTGTTATTCATTTATGTTGTTTAAACTTCGGCCATTTTTATGTCAAAATGAGAACTCACAATACACGTGAGTATTTATAACATCTGTGTCAGCCAGATTCTAAAGGGTTAAACCAGCTCAGCCTAAAACTGGATCTGCAGCATAGCAGCGCGAGGTGGTGGAAGGACTGTCAGGTGATGATCAAAGTGAAGATGATGGAATAAAGGGAAACATTATGGCGTCCGAACTGCTGCGTCATTTTGTTATTTAAGTGCATTCAGACCCTCGGGTGAGCGGACGTCTGCGTGGACGAGTAAATACCGTGTCTCAGTGTGACAATAAATAATAAGTTTGTGCACTTTAAAGTCAGAGTCTGGTAATAAAACAGAGCTAATCCGGGTTATTTCATATGTTTCGGTGTCCGGGGAAGGAAAAGACGAACTAATAAATTAGTCTGAGAAATGAAAAACAACAACTGATGCACCTGATGTGGTTTATGTAACGCTGAAGGCATGGCTTCCTGCGTCAGTGTTCCATCTACCTGGAGGTTTTCACCGTGTCCATCGCATGCGGCCACAGCTTCTGCAAGGCCTGCATCACCGGATACTGGGACTGCCAGTGTCCCCTCTGCAAGGAGGTCTTCACCAAGAGACCCGAATTAAAGACCAACATGACAACTCAAGAGGTGTCGGATCACTTTAGAGGGATAAAGGAAGGAAGCATTAATGATAAATCGGCTGTACGGAATGGAGACAAAGCCGGCGACATCTGCACTGGGAGGAAGTCGGTGAAGTTTAGCCTCGAATGCCAGACGTCTTTCTGTGAGCTTCACCTGGAGCCTCACCACAGAGTCGCAGGCTGAAGAGACGCACTGGACAACCAGATCTGCAAGAAACACCATGTTCTGCTGGACATGTTCTGCAGGATGGACAAGAGCTGGTTCTGCATCGGCAAAGACCTTCGAGTGTGACGAGATGAAGGTTCTGCTCAGAGAGATGGAGCTCAGATTCCGACATGATCCAGGGAAGGCTGCAGAAGGTCCAAATACCAGGTGGAGCTCAGCAAGAAGGACTCACAGCCAGAAAGACATATCGAACACTGTGCAGGTGCTCAGTGCTCTTGTCGCATCAATCGAAAGGAGCCAATCAGAGCTCATTTGGATGATTAAGAAGAAGCAGAGGGCCGTCGAGAGGAGAGTCGAGGGCTTCATCAGAGCTCTGGAGCAGGAAATTAGCGCACTGCAGCAGAGATGCACAGAACTGGAGCAGCTATCGCACCATTTCCACGTCCTCCTGAGGTCGCCAGCTCTATCCAGCTGTCCGAATATTAAAGATCAGCAGGAGTTCAGCACCCGGAGCAGCCACGACGAGCAGGAAGTCTTTACGGAGCGCCGTCTCCGATCTCGAGGAGACGAGAACTTTGCAACTTTGAAGACAAGCTCAACAGAGAGATGGAGAAGTTCCCTGATCAGAGGTCGAAGTGAATTCGGCAGCATGTTGTGGACGTAACTCTAGACCTCGACACCGAACACTGGTCCCTCGCTCTCTCCGATGACAGGAGGCAAGTGGCAAAAGAGGCCCTTCAACCCCAAGAGGTTCGTGGGGTTGCTGGGATCATCGGTCGTAGCTTCTCAAGTACAAGTGAAGGGGAAGGACAAGCGGGCCATCGGCGTTGTTAAAGAGTCTGTAGAAAGGAAGAAATGGTTTTTGGTGAACTTGGATGCTGGACGATGGAGCTGGGAGACGGTTACAAAGCCAACACTGATGACAGAGCGCCATTGGTCCTGATCCCAGTGAATCTTGAGGACTAGAATGCATTGATGTCCTTCTACATGTAGTTATTATCAACAGTTCCCATTAAAACCACCAACAGCGCATCAGTTCTCCTCTCAGGGACGTAGATCTCTAACAACAAACGGGAGAACATTTTGTTGGGGATGATTGTCAGCGATGAATGAACAAACCGCTGCGAGTAATTTGCAGCCCCGTTCAGGGTGATTAACAGAAAATAAACGACAGCGCTCCCGCTCGCGGTCGCCCACTCCGGTGATGTGTCTTATTGTTGTGTTATTAATAGTTTTTGGACAACAATGAAGCTTTATGGCACAGAGGAAGAAGAGATATCAAGCTGTGGGGTTTGTTGACAGTCATTTGTTGTAATAAAGCTCGTGTATGTTGTTCATCCATCCGGTAGCTCTGGTGTAACCTCGTCACAGACCATCATGTATAAAAGAAGGACGACGTGACGTCACCCAGTGTTTTGGAGTATTTTGGAAACTGTACATGACGAGTGAAGGGTGGATCTGACTGAGAACTTCCATTCTCAAAACCATCCCCTACTTTTTTCTCGTAATTTAGTCATAGGAACTGGACTTGCTTGAGTTCCTTGAAGACGTTTCATCCAAGAGGCTTCATCAGGTCTGACTGACTAGTTGGAAGTTCCAGGTACTTCTATCCTTAAGGAGCCATTAACACCTGAGCCACAAAAGACCTTAACGAACCCCATTGTGTCAGGGGGAGCACTAACGATTCTCATAACGAGGGGGAGGAGCATCAAACCCCCAATTGAAACCAAAACTCAGGTGGGACACCTGATGGAACTGAGCAGTCGTTCATTTTATTGGTGCTCTTTCTAAGGTGAGATGTCAAAATGTCTGCCGTGAAGAAGTCCACAGATCAGAACCACCCTTAAGACCAAACATGGACCACAGGAGGCAAACTAAATCCAGATCTGCTGCTTCTATTGTGCTGCCAATGCAAGAATGTTGATTATGTCTTGGTCCTATTTAGGACTTCTTAATACTGAAGCCAGACTACACTGTAAAAAAAAGAAGAAAAAAAATAGAAGTAATTTTTACAGATTTTTAACATTTTTATTTTGAGATTTCTTTTTTTTTTTAATATGCAAAAAATACAGAAATATATCAAATTAAAAAACTATTAAAACTATAATTACAAATAAGCATAATTTAAAACATTTTTGACACAAATAGACTTGAAATAAATATTTATTGTGATTTCCCAAATATTTCCTTTTTGTTTAAATTTCAGTTTAATAGTGTAAATATATTTGTAAAATTAGGGACAAATAATGAAAATAAACAGAAAAAGAAGCATCGGCTCTCTAGTTTTACACAGAATGTTTATTAAATTCAGAATATCTGGTGTAATTACAGAAGTTTTTGCAACAAAAATGTTAAATTAATGTATTTGTATTAGTGTAAAATGTCTAAAGCATTAGTAACCTGTCAAAAAGCAGTTTTTATATAATATATATAATTTATTATATACAGATATTATTATTATATGTTTGAGATAATGTCATTGTTTTACAGACGTAAAAACAATATTATGTAAAAATAAGGCCGGAAAATAAATTATAATCTGGAAAATTAGGGTTTTTATGATATTTACTGTATTTTTTGATGCTCCAGGTGCTAGAACAGTGTTGCTGCTGTTGTTTTTCCTTTTTCTTTTTTACAGTGTGCTTGTAAATGCAGCAGAACATTTTTACTGAGTCTCTATTCTGACAAACTGATAAACTGTTTCTGTGTTAAAGTTAAAGTGTGCAGGAACTCCTCACAGCTCCGGCGGGTTTATTTCCTCCTCAAACACTTTTGGTAATTCCGGTCTTGGGTAAACACGAGTGTGTTGTGTGTGGAGGTTCACAGCAGAGTCCGGCTGACTCGGTTCTTTTATCCAAACCCTCCATCCTCCTCGTCCATCAGAGTGCTTTCCTCTCTGCTCCCGCCGCCCTCGTCCCCTTTTCACAGCTTCAGGTGTGTTGTTGTGTTCAGAGGTGTTGTGATAATTCAGACAGAGCTCAGAGCTGCGAGGGCCACGGCTTCATTGTGTTGCTGACAATCAGGCACCACACATGAGATTTTATTATGACATCGTTTATCAGGAGCTGTTAAAACACAGAGAATTCCTAGATTCTAAACTTTGGTGCAGCTCTGTGACTAATAAAACATTTGCTACAGACTGAGGATGACTGAAGCCGATGTGTTTTCATTTAAATCCGCCTTGAAATAAAATTAATCTAAATTTAATTTCAATCTGTAGGATGTCAGATATGAAATGCATGTTGTTGAAAGTCAGTGCATTTTGAGCTTTCCAACACCCTTCAAACTCCTCATCTGTGAAGAGCTGCCTGATCAGGAAAATTAACCAAATATAAGCTAAAAATCCCAATATTTCCTCAAAATCACTTTATTCTACACGTCTCATTTAAAACGTTGCCAATAATAAAGTGATTGCACGAATCAGATTCTATAAAAATTGTAAAAAATTCTGCACCGCTACTGACTTATTGAGAGCCAACACCTTTTGATTTCAGTCATACATGTGCGCGCTTACAGTCGTCCTCCAAAGTATTCATCTCCTCACATGAAAGAAAACACAAAATTCACACTCAAATAACTAGAAACTGAAAAAAGTAACAATAAATAAAAATTTGCTAAATTACATTTTAGTGGAATGAGACATTGCTTTTGAATTGTGGTTGAAAAGAATAATTTTAAAAAACAAAACAAACTGTTCAACTAAATATTCGTTTACAGGTCCCATCATGCTTGCTTTTTTTGTTTTTATTATATACTTCTGTTGAACCACAATTCAAAAGCAATGTCATGATATTCATTACATTTTTATTTATTATCACTTCTGTCAATTTCAGCTTATTTCAGTGATTTTTTGACCTTCTCTAATGGGACAGTATGAATACATCTGAGGACGACTGTAGATAAATATTGTACCTGCTGATTATAGATTTTTACATTTTTCCAAATAAATATTCAAAGAAATTGAACTTTTGAAATTACAACTTTGTGACACAGCACGAGACATTTTTGAGATTTTTCTTCTACCCTTAGTTGTGCTGTTTCTATAGAAGTGCAGGACTTTTGTTTGTTTCTACTTTAACCATCCATCATCTCTACACCTTAATCCTCACTAGGGGGGCTGGAGTCTATCCCAGCTGACTCAGGGTGAAGGCAGGTTCACCTGGACAGGTAACCAGTCTATCACAGGGCTACACTTAGAGACAGACAACCAAGCACACTCACATTCACACCTACGGACAATTTAGAATCACCAATTAACCTCAACATGTTTCTGGACCTTGTGGGAGGAAGCCGGAGAACCCGGAGAGAACCCACGCTGCACGGGGAGAACATGGAGACTCCACGCAGGAAGATCCCAGGTGTCCTTACCGGGACGTGAACCGGCGACCTTCTAGCTGCGAGGCAACGATGCTAACAACTGCAGCCCCTGTAAAATATGTAATTAAAGAAATCCAAATTTCATTTTTCCTATTTTTATGATTTATTATAATTTTATTTGATGGGATCTCTCTACTTCTTTCCATTGTTGTGCTGCTTCCATAGAGGTTCATGTTGCTGCAGACCAATGAGCCCACAGTGAGTAAAAATGTGAGAAAAAGAAAACTGCTTAAGATTCAGAGGGTTAAATTATTATTATTATTATTTTAAATGCTCTAAAAGCAGCATTTGGTCTCATTTCTCTGTTCATGATGCAGATTTGGCATTCAGACTCCTGTCTGCTGTCACCGGCCCCGTGGAGGGAAACTGGTGCTGAAAACTAGGACACTGGTGGCTTCCTGGAACAGGAATCTCTCCGGCTTCTTGGTTTTATGGCCTTTATGTCCGAGAACAGATGCCACAAAGAGAATCCGGTCCTTTTGTTGCATCTGTTCTTGCAGTTTTGTTAAAATGAACACAGCCTGGGTGGATTTAGGGGTGACAGCGAGCATCATGAGCTGTTTTTGCTTCGCAGGATCCTGAACGCCGGCACGAGCTGCGAAGACGAGCGACAAGCGAAAACGTCCTTTAAGACCTCGGCAAAGTCAAAAGTAATTTAGATTCAGGAGGCTGGTTCTGGGTCAGCTTTTCTCCTAATTTCACTGACACCGAAAGAGTCGGAGGTCAGAGAGAGCTAACAAGACACATTCCCTCAAGAGTTTCTCCCTCTCGGTGTCTTTGATAAAGTAAGCGCGAGTGTCGAAGTTAACCAACTGCTGAGCTCTCCTCATTAATCACACAGAAAGCAGAGGAACCGGGGGAGCTGTCCTACATCCCAGGCCCGCTCACACACACACACACAAACCCTTAAAATAACTGGGACCATCATAAATAACAGCAGAAAGCCTTTTTAAATAAGGCTGGAGCATTACTCAACACTTCACTGTGGCTAAAATAAGAGCCGTGGAAGACTTGGAAGGCCGAGGAGGAAGACGGGACGATGCTGCTGATTGTTTTATCCTGTGCGGATGCTAGCGGCCTGCCGGCTATGCGGCGTTACTCAAATCTGACTTTGGTGCGCGATGACAGACGAGCACGGAGGGCACACATCGTACCAGCTGTTTGCGTTCAGAGCAACACGAACTCGACGGCGGTTTGTTTAACTCGCATCAACAACCGTTCGTCCTTAAGTGTCTCCCTGCGAAATGTCACCTGAGACGAACCAGTTTCCTGCCTAAAATTGGACTACGCCGGGGAGACATTCAGCATGACTAATCAATGATGCAGCGTTACATAATCCGCAAAGTGTGTCTCCATTAGTTTCCAAATTTGGATGTTTTAGGACGAGATTGTGCCGATGAAACGCTCTCGAGAGGCAGACGGAAAAGTAAAAGTCTTTGTTTTGTTGTCGTTTCAGAGGATGAGCTTTGACAGAGCATCAGTCCAGGAACCATGGTGTCAGAAAGCACAGGGGGTAAACACAGGTTGTCCCCGGTGGGGGCTGATGGAGAGCGTTTCCAGGCGATGGATGCCTTTCCAATAACACGTTCATTGGAGGGGGGACAAAAATGTTTTGGCGCGACGACAAAAACTAAACCAGAACAGAAGAGGTGGAGGCAAAACTTTGAAAGGGGGCCTCTTCAAACTCTTAAAGCTCATCTCTGTGCATCAAAATGACACATTGAGAAGGTTTTTGTTCATTAAATCATCACTTCAATCCTTAAAATGTCTTAAAAGTTGCAAACAGATCATTGTTTTGTTTTTATGTTTTATACGAGGTCCTGAATCTGCTGTAGTTTACTCACATCACTCTGGTTTTATTGTGCTGAAGCTAGCATCTTCGCTACCCACAATCCTTTGCTGCACACTTTGTACCATGTGCAGGTGCAGCCGCTAAAAATGTTGATTTTGTGGCAAATTTGCTCAATAAACAGCTTCAGGTGCAACTTGAAACGACCCTGGCATCTTTTTTTTTTTTCCAGCCTCACCTCCGCCACTGGCTCGAGCACACCAGCTCACCCGCTGTAAAAACCACAACTGAGTGAAATATTGCAGCCACACATTCGAACCAGAAGAGGGACGATACAGGAAGTCCCACGTATGAAACCCCAAAAAGTATGAATCGACGTTTTTAAGGTGGAAATGCTGAGTCATGGTGCTGACTTCACTACTAATGTGTCTCCTGCCATCTATCAGCACATCTGTCTGGATGTATTATTACATTAGTTTGGTTAATCTCCATAAACAACTCTGCAGGAGCTCAGCTTGAGGTTTGTTACAGTCGAGTAAAGCATTATTTTATATCGTTTTTTAAGGTTAAACTCCTAATATGCAAATGACTCACACCTTAAATAACACTACAGGGTTTTAAAGCAATGTTTAGTCATGTCACTTTTAGAACTTTGAACTGGAAGGGACTTCAGTGCAGCTAATGTCTTGGTTGTTTTGTTTGTGTTGCATGTTTGCGATCTTATTTGTTATCAATATTTGTCTAATCTGACATTTCTTTTGTTTTCGGTCAAAAAAATCCCCCCCAAAAAACCTGCGACCCATCAAGAAATAATCGAGTCGAGACGGACAAACCAGTGCTGAAATAGTATTTTTATTAAATACTTTCAAGATCCAAGTTCGAAGAATAACAAAGCTATGATGAAGACCAACTAACACTCAGACAAACACTTGATAGTCGTCAATTCATGGTTGTATTTCATTGTACATCATGATCATGCAAAAAAACTCCAGCATCCACGTGAAGGCTGGGGGAGAAAGCGCAGCCCAATAGTATATCATTACAACGCAGGGAAAACGCTAACATTGAGGGCCTCATACCAAGCTACGGCTCCTGAATCCTTTTTTTTTTTTGTCTGTTTGTTTTTTTTTTCCTGTATTTTTTTTTATTTTATTTTGTATTTTTTTAAATTTTGCATTTTTTAAAATATTTTTCATGTCACCTATTCAACATTCTGGATGGAGGAAAAATTCATATGTCAAAAGATGCAAATATCATATATTAACACTAGCTCCATCCTTATTCAGGTAGGTACATGGTAGAAATGCGTAACTGAAACATGCATATAACTAGGTCTCCCGCTCCGGCTCGCGGCGCCGCGGGTCGCTAGAACCCGCGACGCCAACTCTTCTCTGGCTTTCCTCTCAACTGAGCAGGCACGATTTTAAAACCACCAAGGGTAGATAACGTTAATAAATAATTTAGTCCTGATCAATATCTTTTAATTTCTGTATCCTCCTCCTCCTCCCTCTTTTCCCTTTTTTTTTTTTTTCTTGTGTAAAAATTGTTCCTGTGTGTGCGAGGGAGAGTGCAGAACTCCAGCTTGGCAGATCGGCAAATTACCAAACGACGAAAAAGTTTTAAAAAACAGCAACAACAAAACTCAAAAAACCAGTAACACGGGAAACAGAGAAACAACAGAGAGAGAGGTACAAATCAACATCTCAAGAGCAGGGACTGGAGGGGGGGAGATATCAGGGAGAGGGTTGTTTTTTTTTTTTGGACTTTTTTTTTCTTTTAAAGATACGACTGTCGCGGATGGATGGCGAGACAATTAAGCAGCACAGCGAAAAAAGGGCGGCGTTGAGGTCACACGGCAGCGGTGCGGATATGTTACAAAGCCTAAAACGCACCACGGGGCGTGCGCGGGGGTGCGTATGATATGAAGAAGACGGCTCACAGCATCGTGGGATCAGGCGTTAAGGACACTATCATGGAGGTGTTTGAAAAGTTTCGGGGGGGGTCAAACTACCGTCAACCTTCGTTTTTTTTTTTTTTTTCCGCTCCCCATCTCCACAAACAGTCGTACGGCCATGGGACTGGAGCTGGCAGCGAGCGTGCAAATTCATGAACGATCAAGAGCTACCGGAAGTATTTCTAAAAGGTGGAGAAGTACTGAGGAAAAATGTTGCTCCTAGACTAAGGGCGGGGTCACAGAGGTCACGGGGTGGTTCCCGTGTCCGAATGCACAGGATGAGTGTCTCTTAGATACATGTACATATATTACACTTTTCTACATATATCTATACATACACTGTATTTACACAGTGATTATAAACAAACCAGGCCCTTGCAGAAATCAGAGAGTGGGAGGGAAGGTTAAAGGATGGTTTGAAGAGAAGAGAGAAAACGGGGAGAGAGGGCGGGAAGGGATGAACGAGGGAGAGGCGGCGGGCAAAACATGCAAAACGCAGACGCCATTTTTATTTATTTTTTTCTTTTCACCCCCCTCCCGGCCCACTCTCTCCCTCCAACTGCATATAGACACAACAGAACGTGTTAACACGCACGGGTTTCAGCTTGAAATTTGCACAATAAAATCCCTCTTTTTTAAAAACTCAGCTGCTTTAAAACGGAGCCTCGAATACAGAATCAGTCAGACCGACGACGACGACGACGACAAAAATCATAATAAAATAAAAAACAAAAAGGCTCCGGTTGTTCACAGGAACGCAAAACAAAAAAAAAAGGAACAAGGACGCTAAAAACACAACAAATCAGACGCCCTCCCGCCCCCGTCCCCAAACCCACGACAGCACGATTTCCGTTGTGTCGGAAAAAACAAGCACACAAACGAAAACACATAAACACGTAAAAAGCCTAAAGTTCTACACTTTGGTGCTTCATGTTTTTTTGATATCAAGTTTCTCTCGCCGCCAAGTTCTCGGACCGAGCCAACTTGATTTGTTTTTCCCTCTTTAATTCGGTTTGGGGGGAAAACCTCCCTACATCTTAAACAACGTCCGGGCAGCAACGCTTCCTACCCAGTAATCCCTAAATGTGTCCAAAATCTCAGCTGCTAAACTTCACGCTCCTCTCTCGCTCCTCCCTTATTAGATAGTGAATATAAATGCTTGGTTGGGTTTTGGTGGTTTCTGGTACATCTAGTCATAATTTACACAGTATATTCATAACTCATACTCATAAACTGTCACAAGTTCAACTGTAAATCCTCTCCTCCCCCAGGACGTCTCATCTCGCGCGGGCAGAAAAAAGATGGCTGCCAGAGGGAGGGATAGAGGGCAAAGACGCGCCCTCCAATCAGGCGCCAGATGCATGCATCATCCCATGGGGGCGGAGTCTTGTGTTCAGCCGGCCCCCAGCAGGTCAAAGGAGGGACAGGATTGGTTGGTATCGTGGAGAGGGATGCGATCTCGCCCGGCCGGGCTCCTGGCACTAGCCAATCCACGCAGAGGACGGACCTCTTAAACACGCTCGCTGAAAAAAACTGCCCCCCAAAACACACACTCCAGTAGACTGGAGGCTCAGGACCACTGAGGGGGGGGCAGGAGCAGCACGTTAGCATCACGAGTCCTCAAACTGTCTGACATGCAAATAACGTAATAGTAGCTGATAACGTAATAAAAGTCCTGAAACCATAACGTAATAAGTTATTACGATATCGGTTCAGGACTTTCATGACGTCATCGGCTTCTGCAACACTTCAGGTTCACTGTTGGGTCTTATTTTGGTTCTTTGGGCTGTCGTCACTGTGAGTTAACTCCTCATTAACGTCGTCAGAAGAGGCAAGAAACATGAGCAGTCAGACGATCAGGGTGTCTTTTTATTTCTGGCCTTTCAAAGCAGCATCCATCAGAAAGCTAACAGCTACTGACGAGGTAGAAAGAAGGATGTTTGACTACATGACGAGCTCTGAATTGAGTCCAGCAGGATACCACGAGGTTAGCTGAGATAAATAATAAAAGAAGAACTGTGAAATGATTGTCCATTTCACAACACGAGTTGACGGACTAGAGCTGCACAATATACATGTACAACAGCTACAATGCAGGAAGTGTGATGTATCTGCGTAATAAAACGTAATAATGACGCTAAATTAAGGGTTTTGAATCCACAGATTTAAAAAACGTTGTTTACTAGATGTGGAGTTTGTGAACACGGCGGCTCCACGTGTGAGCAGCAGGATGAGCAACGAAAAGGAGGCCAAAAGAAACCTGAGCTGTATGAAGATATTTTGGCGACAGAAAGGATGATGTTGACTAGAAACTGGTGTTCTGTTGGCAGCTGTGTCTAAAACATGACTTATTTGTTTGACCATTTAAAAAAGATTAACACAAAGTCCTTTAAGACGAACCTGAAGGCCATACTTTATGTCCTATGCAGCCGCTCTCCTCTACAAAACCACCTGAATCAGTCTGTAATGATCAAATCTTTTTAAATATAGTTATTTAAGTCATGTAGTGCCATTTTTTCCCACATATCGCGCTGCCCTGATGCACAGTTTTTCTGGATTTATTAGCCGCCTGATCGCCTGGATGCTCGTATTTCTTGCCCAGTGGGATGTTGTCGTCGTGATGTGCTGCCGGATGAACTTGGTGAATATGATGTTATCTTACTAAAAATGAGACCCAACGTCTAATAAGCCAGAATATCTCCCTGAGGAATCCAGCTGTCACCGCTCTACCAAAAGTCAAAGCACGATTAGAAGCTGCAGAACTGATTGACGCGTCCTTTAGTGCAGCTTCTAACGTCTAAACCTGATTCTGTTTCTGTGACTGACAGCAGTGCAACAGGTGTAAACGCCAAAATCTAATTCTTTAAAGACAGGCTGAAATTATACATTGCTGTCGAAAAAGTGAGTCTCTTTTGGTGATGATAGTGTTGAACCTCCTCACTGTGGAGCAGCTACAGGTCAGTGAAGTTATCCAGCTGGTAGCTGCATGAACTTAATCGCTTCATCTCTGAAATTATTTAGATAACAGCCGGCTGGGTTTGTGGAAAAAACACAGAATCTCAGGGAAATCTGGTGCAGCCAGAATCATCTAATGCAGTGGCTCTCAAACTTATTGAGCCACGACCCCAAAGATAACATCAGCTTGTGTTTGTGACCCCCAACTTAAATTAATATTTCATGAGTAATAACTTTATTGATCATGAATTAATGCATTAAAGATTAATGTGTTAATGTCACAGATTAATCTCTTTACATTAACACGTTAATTTTCTTTTGAATGAATGAATGAACTGAATTTATTTCGAACACATGAAGGGAAAAAAAAACCAAAAAACAAAAGAAAACAATTTTAAAAAGAGCAAATAAGAAAAATAATGTCTCCTAATCAAATCATAATATTAACAAGTTCCAAAAAAGAGTGGGAAGAAGTACACATTTTTAATTTTGACAGCCCTAATACACTTTTATTTGATAAATGTAGGCTTTATTTATCTTAATTTTCTTTTACAATGATCTGGTGACCCCCCTGGAGTTATCTTGGGACCCCCATGGTTTGAGAACCACTGGTCTAATTCGCCACTTCAGGGAAGCAAAGCTAAGAACCCCCTACTCCTATATCTGATGTTGTGGTTGTAGATCTTGGTCTATGTGAGTGCGTGGGTTCATGTGCCAGTACCTGATCACTGTAGTGGTGCAGCAGGCGCTCCTGAGCAGTGGAAGTGAACGTTGAGCCACTTGCCATCGCGACGATGCCACACCCTGGTCTCCTCCGACTGGCTGGAGCGAGGGCGGCCCGTGGAGTCCACAAACTGTGTGAGCCGGATGTAGGCGATGCAGGCGGCGTCCTCGCCGATCAGGTGCACGTGCGGGTTGAGCAGGGTGGTGTGCACGGGCTTGCTGTTCTTGCTCAGCACTGGAGAGACGAGAAACGTTGACAGTTATCTTTGAAAAGCAGAGAAGTGGGTTTTTTTTGGAGGATGCCAGCCTCTAATGAACTTGCTGTGGATGAATTGGAGAAATATCAAAACTGCAATCTTGGTGTGCCATTTTGAAAACTTAAGGCAGAAGGAAGAGCCAAGAAAACGCTGCACCGTCATCGCTTTAAAGCGAGGCACAAAAATGGAAAGAAAAACGGAGGCTGCAGTCTCCGCGCTGACTGATGGACTGGCTGGTCCACATGCTCTCATCAGACCACATTCTCATTAGGAGGACGGTAGACGGTTAATTTAATAAAAAGGAACATCCAATACAGTCCATTATTTTTGGCAGTAGGAGGAACAGACTCGCGTTAAAGGACACCGCTACGGCTAACTTTTAACTTTTGCATCATGTGGAAACAGCCGGCTGCCTTGTCTGCATAATTTTACTCAATAGCTCCTGCGCTGGATCACAGATTGATATATTTTAGGAACCCGTGAACGTCGGCACGAACACACTGTTATCATTTCAGTATAAAATAATGAGGTTACAAGGATTTAATAAGCTGCACACAATAGCTTTTTATGTTCATTTACAGATTATTTAGGCTAATAAGGCGAGCAGGTGGAGTAAACTCAGATATTTCTGGACGAAGAACAGGTACGATTTTAGTCGACCAGCATGTTGTTTGGTTGACTTCAGCCTGAGGAACATTTAGGTCGTTAATAATCAGACTGTGAGTTTCATTTTTAGAAAGAAACGTGCATTAAAATGAACGCTTATAGCCTTTGAAATGTTAATACAGGCTGTTTTGTTCTGCTTGTAAACCAAATATGAACGCTACTAGAATGCAAAACCAGCATTTTGAAGAAGAAATCTTCATTTTCTGGATCATATGGTCGAGTATTTGGCTGAATGAAATGAGTAATTAGTGATAAAAATGTGTATTAGTTGCAGAGTTCAACCACAAAGAGAAATGTTGTTTATCTTCCCCTAATGGACCGACTGGTGCTTCTCATCAGGTCGGTATTCCAGGAAGGCTAAAATAAAACCATGTGTGTACAGGAGGAGACTCACAGTTTTCAAAGTAGAACTTGTGGAAGTCCATCCCCTCCACCAGGTTTCCCAGAGCCTCGGGTTCAAAAGAGGTGAGTCCAGGATCACAAATCCTCCTGAAGAACAAAAAGAAAAGAAGAAGTCAAGTCTGTTGACTCCTGGTAGAACATCACACACTTCTCGCTGAAAGCATCTGCCGCGATACTCACGTGTAAGCATCGAAATCTCCGTTGTTGATGGCTTCGATCAGCTGCTCCGTTATCTTGATGATCTCCTGTTTACGAGCTGCAGAAACGACCACAGAGAGAGAGAGAGAGAGAAAGAGGGAAACAGATGGAGGCTGGTGAGAAGCCAGTTGGAAGGTGAGACAACAATTAACTGTGCAGTAGTTCAGCTTGATGACATTTCCTCTCATCACTTCCTTCACACGCCCGTCCTCTGTGGCTACAGCTCAGCGCTCCTCTTTAACCTCGTCACTCCGTCCCACAGCAGCTTCGTCACTGCGGCTCGACCTCGTCGCTGTCTGTCGCTCAGCTTCTCGCCTTCTGTGCTGACTGAACGCTACTCTCTGCCGCCGCCGCGAGCGACACGCTGCCACCGGAACAGAAGCGGCAGCTCTGCTCGTAAATACCACGGGCTTAGTTTGACAAACAAAACCTTAACACCAGGCCCACTTGCTAGCTTTTCTCCCGCAACTGTTAATATGCGACAGCAGATTCGTACACAATGAAAACAGACTGCGAGGAAACTTGCCAGTCCTGTCTGGTGAGGAAATCTATGAAAATGAATTCAGAATCATAAACCTGCATCTGACAACGTTCATTTTCTAAAAGCCCCATTAATTAACCTAAACGGCATGTTGTATTTATGTCCGCTCTGACCCGGTTTACTTGTAAATTAATAAAACTAAAAGCATTTTAAATCACGTCAATAGAAAAAAATATCAACCGTCTCCCGCCAAACGCACACAGTCCTGATAAAAGACCTTTAAACTCGTGGTTTAATCGATGTTACTGATTCTGATGTCTGACAAGCGCCTGAAACATTCACACACATGAAAAGTCTCAATGAAACCAAACGCACAACTTCTCCGTTCACAAAACGCCACCTTCAAGGATGAAGCTGTTGATGTTCTGCTTTTTGCTCAAATTTCACAAAAAAAGGACCAAAACCAACAATTAAACCTGATCCACAGACCGAACTATTAAAAAACAGACCATGAATCACACTTTTGCACCAGATGACGCGTTTGTTCGTTACAATGGAGTTTATTTCGACTCAGTCCCACACACACACACAAACACACACATCATCCCGCTGCCATAAATACACGACGGAGCGGCAAAAGTGGAATAATCCACGGCCGAAAATAGACCCCCAACAACCTCCTCACGTCATTTAATAATGTTTCCCAAAGAAATCACAGCCTTTTAAAAATAGTTAACTGTGTGATTTTGATCTGCCGCGAAGAGTTTTGCCAGATTCTCCTCAGCCTGGCACCGACAGAGACAGACATTGTTGGTTCTGGCATTTTCATGGGATTTGTTAACAATGACAAAAACATACAATATCAACCAGCGTTCTCTTTGCACATGTATGCCAAACTAATGCAAACTATCTGCTTAAAAACCGTTTGAAATATGTGATCTGACTCATTTCAAGACGCTTTAACCCCTCTGAACGCCAAAACCAGCCAGTGGGTGTGAAAGGCGAGTTATTAATTAATAAAAATTTGCCAAAATAACACTTAATCGGAGCCAAAAGCGGTAAAAAACAGAGAGGACTGCTCATCTGTGATGTGCCACTTGTGATTTAATCCAAATCACTTTATTCTAACACTCTTTTTTCTGTTAAATGCCGAAAATAAAACGTTTGCTCCTATTGGATTCTGTGAAAACCAAAAGTGTTTCTCGACACAAACCAGTAGTGGCTCAGCTTTGACCAGCAGTCACGGTTAAACTGGGTTGAACTGCAGGCTGTGTAGAGCACATAGGAGGACATGTATTGAGACATACTAAAAAATTACGAGTAGTAAAATATCTATAGTACGTAGAGTCATCATTTTTCTGGTACTGGGCTCTGTTCTTGTCTTCTCTGTGCTGTTTCCATGGAGGACTTTAAACTAGCTTACAGTGAGCAAATAAAAGCCCACTTGGTGTTCAGAGGGTTAAAGCTACAAACCAGGATCAAGTGCCGAAGCCGTTACCGCCGACATCATCCACAACCTGCCTCCTTTGGCACTCGGAACACACAGATGCAAGGTTTTAGCGAGCGGCAGCTACAGTGAGGAGACGGTGGAGGGGGAAAGCTGAATTAGTCAGTTAGTGCACACATGTGTTTCTTACTCTGCTTAGTGTTGCTTTTAGCAGTGTTGCTCCCTAGTGGAGCTGCAGGCATGGAGGACTGTGAGAGCTCAGAGTCGGGGCAGGAGCTGTTGCCCGTGCTGTTCCATGCCATGCGCTTTACGTCATGCGGTGGAACTGAAACACACAACGGATGGTCAACAGACACGTGGATGGACGGACAGACAAAACGACAGAAATGATTTGAGAGTGGTGGTCGTCCACACACACACACACACACGACATGCAAACACAAAAACGGGTGCAAAAAAACCAAAGCTGATGATGTGGGTTAGTGTTTAGTAGAATTAACAGGAAAATAAAAACACTCAGAGTTAGTGTGGGTTCCTGACAGACATGCAGACAAGCAGTGCAGCTCTGATGGTGATGCTGTGAGATGTGGAAGTCGTTTAACTGCCCGCTCTGCTCATATCTACTCTACTCTTAGTGCTCATATGCATTAACAAAGCCTCCTCTGATGAACCGGAGCACAGACAGGATCGAAGCAATTGCTTGTTATTAGCTCGAGTTGTGCCTGTGGGGGAAACTTAGCATGTTCAGGAAGGAAGGAAGGAAGGCAGGAGTGGACAAAGCACACAGGAAAGTAGTAAAGGGGAGAGAGAGGAAAAGAGATTAGGCTGTCCTTTAGTGCAGGTGTGTCGGACAAGAGGTCAAGAGACGAGAGGAAAGATTAGAGCGCAGAGGAGGGAAGATTTGTGAGAGGAGAGATAATGGGAGGAGAGAGCGGCGAAGAATGGCGTATTAGAGAGAAATGGGGAATAAATTAGTGAGAAGATTAACAGAGAATAAAGCATTAGAGGAGAATGGAGGAGAAAGATGTGAGGACAAAGAGAAACACGATGCTCTATGGTGGCGCATGGTTCCAGGAGAGTCGGACGGGCAGCAGGGCCTGTCAGACTGGGCGGCCGGTTTAGGACACTCAGCTGCAAGGTAAGCAAGGCTTCCTCCAGCTGGAGCTGTCACATTAGGAGGACGAGGGGATAGATGCAGTGAACACCAAGAAACACACACACACACTCAACACACACTCACGCAGACACGCACAGATTTCAGGGTTCCCACAGTGGCCCTGATGAAAAATGCCACGACTTTTTTTTTATGACTTCCATAATTAGATCGAAATGGCTCTGTGACCTGGAACAAAAAAAAAAAAATCGTCCCTGTTGCTTTTAGAAGTTTGATCGGAGCAGGAGGAGGTAAAGTGAGCACACGGTGTACAATATAAAAAAGATGGACGCAGCAGTTAGTGTGTTATTAAACCTCGGGTTGTATTTGGGTTGTCGTAGCTGATAACTGCTGAGATCTGGGAACGAGGTGACGCCACTGCAGTAAAGTTCAACAATCAATCCTGTGAGACGTCAACGAGGGACTGAATGACCTGGTTGGTATCAGGGCAGACACTGACTTACAGGAAAAAGACTTCTCCTGCACTGGAGAATCTGAAAATCATAAAGAAAATTGTGGCAAAAATTGGGAAAGGTTGACCAAGATTTGGGAAACGTTATTCAGTGAGTACGCGAGAGTTCGTGGGATAAAGTAAATTTAACGAGTACTTAAGAGTCGGAAGAGTTCATTAGTAATTTATCTAAATATTAGCAAAATCACAACATGCCAAGGCAAGATCCAAACTCCAGGACCTGCAGTTAAAATGCCCCAAAACATAAATGATGTGGTGCTACAGAGATGCTGACAGATCCAGACGTAAGGTGCTTGTTTGGTAGCAGAAGTCACGTCATCAGTTTAGATTTGTTTTACTGGAAAAGAAATGCAAAAATTCTCCTGGCTCATACATCCAGCATAATAATGGCGTCCGGTAATCCCCAAGTGAGACTTTTAGTCACACAATAGTTACTGAAGTTATATAGATCGCAATATATGCTGTTGTAAATCTGGTCCATGATCCTTCTAAGTCGTTGTAATATGACTGTTTTTACTGAGTCCAAGCAAACACACTGCAGTTATGTTACAAGGGCAATAGTGCACATACTTGGCAGTATTATGCACGCACAGAAGCGTCAACCTACTGAGCATATATGGACCTACGGAGTCCTCCAAGCAGATTCCCACAGACCAGAAAAGCAGCGACTACATGTCTGTAGAGTCTGTCTGTGCGCACCGTGTGTTGGCAAGGGAACATGTTCGAGGTTTAAACTCCATCAAGGACAGGTTATTTTAAACTGTTGTTTTAACTTGATTACTGCCTTTTTGTTCTTTTGTCATATTTTTGGTTTCTATTTGCGGCCGTGGAGAAAGGAGAGATCCAGTGTCTGATTCACTGAATGTAAATATCTTAAAAACAACAACCCTGACATCCACATAAAGATGACGTGTGCTTATGCTCAAGTACAACTCGTAAATTTCAGTCTGTAAGTGAAAGATTCCAGTCATTCCATCATGCACAGCTAAATATTATGTTTTCCTGTCCTGACGGTCATGAGACAGATTGAGGGGATTTACAATTTGTGTCTGAACTGGGGTTCATATATGGATGTTTTCTCTCAAATGTGTCTGTCATGAACCAGATGAGTAGGAACGAGGACTCGTAGGATGCTAAGACAACAGCTGTGGATTCATTCTGAACAGCCCCGAAGGACTTCAGAACACAGACTTGTGCCTAAAAGCATCAAAAAAGCTAAGCTCAAGTTGTTTTTCAACGTGCACTCCAGCCCCGAACTTGTCTAGACGTTAAGTGGAGCAGGTGTACGTAAGAATGGAAATGTCAGAATCAGTTGGAACGGATGCTAAATGGACTTTACTCAGCCGGCTCTCAGGCACAAAGTAAAGTCCAATTAAGCCCATACATAAATATAGCGAGCGTTAATGATGTCTGCACCACATGACTGGTGCAAAACTGCAGAAACACAACCGCAAGAGAAGGTTTATTTACACCAAGACACCAATGATGATGTCTAACTGGAGAGAAATGTGGGAGATGCTGTTGGTCAGAATTCAAATTTAAGGAACAGCAGGAGACTTTGTGACCACAGCACACTTTTTTTGTGTGTAATTTTTGTCTCCTGAACCCTTTTGTTGGGCTCCACATGTGTGAAATGTCAACTCTGGACAATGTCTGTTGTTTACAGGAGTTATCTGTGTACAAAGGCCGGGGAAACGTGTTATTCTTTGTCCTCTTTTCTTTGTTTTTAAACCTTCTCCTGTTCCCAGATCTCAGCCGGAGTAAGATCCAAGTCGTAATAAACTGGAATTATCCTTTAAATGAATTAAATCACTCAAATTCTACGGTTTTTCCCTGAGTTTCCTGGATTTTCCCCTGAATGGAAGTATGGAAAGTTCTAAAACAAACAAAGAAAAAAAAAAAAATCAATATTCCACGAATCAAAAACCAGTGGGAACCCTCAAAAAAAGCTTGGTGGATCAGAGTGAGGGGAGCTCAAAGATGTAAGAAGTCATTGCCGGTGACTACAAAAAGCCAGGGTGGGAGTGGGGGGGGGGGGGGGGGGGGGGTGGGTGGGGTTTGTGTTAGGTCCTTGCCAGGGGCGACCGCATAGCTTCTGGTTGCCATGGATAAACTTACTGGCAGGTGAGCTTTGAGGTGAGGGCAGAAGTGGGGGCATCTCCTCGGTGGCGCTGCTCTGACTCAGCGCCGAACTGTCCGCTAGAACACACACACAAAACGCAGCCGGACACACAATAAATACAGACGTACGCACACGGCAGGCACACAGTCAAGAGTGTGGCGAGACGCATCTCAGCACACCTGCCAACCGCTACAGTCAAATACACACACTTCACTAGATGGGAGACAGAAAGAGAGAGCGGATAAGAACAGGAAAAAGGGAATAAAACACTTGAGTACCTTTCCTACCTTTCATTTCTTCCTCGTCGTTGGTGGCGTTGCTCTCCGTGGATCCCTAGGGTGCAGAAGGTTAGAACAGAAAGACACTGAAATTAACACGGTCGGGATCCAGGAAGGAGTCCAGCAGGGCTGTGCGATGTTCTGTGTCGGACTTTCGGGGGCCCAGACAGAAACACAACGTCTCACCTTGACGCCGTCGGGAGGGTTGTGCACCACCGTGCTCTGAGATTCCTGCGTTGCAGAACGGAACAGTTAGTCCAGAATACATCTCTGAATCAGTGCCTCTCAACTGGAGTCAGACTGGGCCCCTTGTTGCACCTCAGTCACCATCTGCTAGCGGCTGATGTGTCCCCTAAACTGTCAAGACCACCCATGGCAAGAGCTGCCTGATGTCTTATCTTAGGACTGCAACTGTTAGTTACTTACATCATCTCTAATTGGGCCGTTTGCTCAATTAACACATTTATTGTCTGATCTATAAAATGCCAGAAAATAGTTGCTCTTTCTGCATATCCAGACTCTTGTTTTGTCCAACAAACAGTCTCAAAATCAACACAGAAGACAAAGAAATTCAGCAAAAAACTGTTTTCCTCTTATCAATTAATAGACTCATTGTTCCTGCTCTTTCAGACTTCACTAGAACGTCGCTGCGATAAGATCTTACTGCGTTATTACTTTGCAAAACTCTGTGGGCAAAATAAATGAAATTCTGAGCAAAATAACAAAAAAAATTGTTGCACCTAATATTATTTTAATTATCAAAAACACTGCTGGGTGTTTTTTTTTTAACGATTAATCAGGTAACAGGTTAGATTACGATCTCTCTCGGTTTTCCTGTGACCTTTTCATTTTATCCAACCAATAGTCACATAACAAACCGCAGAGAAGCAGCAAGAAATGAGCCGAGTTAAACAGATTATTATTTGGTTTAAGTGTTCGACTCTGGTCTTATCTAATGAAATACACAAAAACTGGGACACACAGTTCTTCTGCACCACCAGTTGAGAAGCATAACCGAAACCAAACCGGTCCGTATCATCCAACCACACAACGCTGCAAGATGTCATTGAATGCATGCTAGTGAAGCGTCTCACAACCACGACATGCTAGTACTGGACAGTAGAGTTTGGCAGTAGAGTAAGGATGTCAATGATAAACAGGTTAGAGTTGGAAGAATGGTTAGACGGGCCAAGAAAGATGTTAGGATGGATGGATGGATGGATGCAAGAGGGTAAAAGGATAAAAGGAAGGCAGGTTAGGCACGGGCTATAAAGGATCATACACAGAGATAAACACAGGGGCCGTTACGAGAACAAGACTGACTTCTATTTGGACGTCAACAAGGACTGCAGCTCTCTGTGCTGCCACCTTAGAGGCACATAATCCTACAAACAAGTTCATGCTTCTTAGAGATCTAAAACAGGTGCACATGTGAGTCTGAGATTCTGACTCAGATCGAGCATTTTGAATAATTTCCAATAAGTGTCTCATTTGCTTGATGCTCAGATGCAGCTCTGGAACACATGTGCACCTTGGGGGTGGGGGGTGGGGGGTGTGCACCTTGGGGGTGGGGGGTGGGGGGGTAAAATGGCCGGAGGATGGGAGTGCCGGGGAGAGGGAATGTTACATCGCAACACCTCCTGGATGGCGGATGAAGGATGACAAGCAGCGACTATGACGATGGAGGATGATGCACGACGGGGCTACTATGCAACTACTGGGGGGGTAGGAGGAGGAGGAGGAGGGGAGGGGGAGGGGGCGGGGGGTAGGTTAGGAGGCGGGAGCTGACACTGCGGCGGCCTACTGTACCATCTGGGCGTTGGTCGCCATGTTGGTGTCTTTCAGGGCATTGATGGCGCTCACTATACTGTTCTTACTGTTGTTGGTAGAAGGCTGGGACGAGAACGCAAACACTCAGAGTGAACACATACGCACACATACACACAGATGCATTAGAATTACACGCCGTCGACAGGGAACGGGGCTAATGTTGGTGGTGGAAGCTCCGGGGCTGTTGAGAGCTAACAGGGGTAAATGAGAGGGTGAGTGCCACAGAATGGCCTCTAGATCATCCTTTTTACTGCCTCACTAACTCTCTATGCCTCTGCCACTTAACTACACAGAGAGACCCCTGGGGGCAGAGAAGAAAGAAAGGGAGACGGGGAGGTAGGAGGAAGAGGAGGAGGAGGAGGAGGAGAGGGGAAGGGAGATGCTTAATAGCGGCAGAGACTGATGGAGACTGCTGGAAAGGAGTAGCAGCAGACACCTGACTGAAACCGGCTAAAGGTGGGAAAAAGTAAAACCAACACAGAAGAAGAACTGGCTTATAATTATACATGAGACTACAAGTGGAGAAAAGGAAGTTCTCAGACTTGCAGATGGGACTACAGGATTTGTGGAATCTAAAAACCAGGCCACAGAAAGTTGCCTGAGGTAAAGCACAATCTCCCCACCCCTACAGAAATAAACAGGGACACTGGGCGAGAAACTGGAAAAACCCTGAAAAAAACAAAAAATCATTACTGTGTGAAAGAGAAAAGAATAAGAGGAGGAGAAAGTGAGCTACACCGAGACGGCGAGAGGCACAGAGAAAGAACAGAAGGTAGAAAAAAAAAGGGGGTCAGCTAACAGAGGAGAGGCAGGACACATTGTAGTAGAACAAAAGAGGGCAGAGAGGTGACGAGACAACCTTACCTTAGCAGAATCTGACTTCTTGTTGAGTAAACTTTTGCATGCTGTAACGAAGGAAAAAAAACAAAAAAAAAAAGAAGAAGAGGATAGAAAGGAAGAGAAACAGGTACAAAATTGAGTTTCACCATTGCCACAGTGCAAATCCACCTAATTCCTTCTCTGCTTTTTATTGAAACTTGGATCTGCAATTTATTACCTAAGAAACCCCCAATACCTCATCCTTTGTCGGAAAGTAAACGTAGATGTTTCCAGAGAATAACGTGCATTTAATGGATTTCTTGGGGCATTTTTTTTTTTTTTTTTTTCCCCCCCCTTTGGCTTGTACAGGTTGCTACACTCTGCAAAACCCATTCACATCATAATCCATTCATTGCCATCTGGGGATAAAAGAGAAACCTGAGAGCAAAGTAAACTTCCTCAATCCATTTCCTGTCGGGAAGACCCCAGCAGATCTAGGAGGAGAGTGATGGACGGACTCAAACTGCCGCCAGGACCGACGGCGATGAGCTCGGTTAATGTAAATCATTGATTTCCTTTAACGGCTCCGGTCACTTTTCCCTTTCAGTCTAAAGCTCTCAACTCTCTCTCGCTTCCTTTTTCTCTCGTTTTTCTACAGACACACAGGTTCCAAACAAACAAAAAATAAATCTTATCTTGTGTTTCTTACCTTTCAATAAGAAATGGGAGAGGGAAAGAGGGGGGGGAGAGACGGGAGGCAGGGGGAGGGTTGTAAGAGAGGGCTTAGTATTTCAATACAAGAGAGTAGAGATAAGGGGTACAGCATTTACAGCAGCAAACAATATCAAGTGACAACTCATGCTCCTTAATCTGGGCTGTTGCGCTGATATGCAGCTTCTATCTTGGCCTGGCCATGCAGCATCCAAAGAGAAAAAAAATACACATAAAAAATAAAAAAAAAGGAAAGTTTTCATTCCACAACCAGGAAAAAAAAAGGAGAGCTGATTGTTCAGAGTGCAAACATCTGCTCTTCATTCGGCTAAATCTTCAACCAAACAGCCACCGAGGTGCTAATTGCGACAGCATGGGACCACCGCGTTCACATGCTCTCTAATTACGGCCTTCCCTCCTCCATTCAAGATGTTCCAATTTCACATGAAAAGGATGGGTAAAGTCGAGATGACCCGCAGCAGGAGGGCAGCGTCGCTCGAGCGGTACACCAGCTCGAGTGAGGAACAGGGGGAGAGCGTATTAAAAAGCATGTGAAGGCTCATCTCCCGTTTCTTTTTATTTATTTATTTTTGTAGAATTTAACCACACAGGACACCCACATGCGAAAAGGCAGCAAGGCAAACACCTTTCCAGAAACATACAGAAATGCTTCAAACGCACACTTCTGTCACTTTTTTTTTTTTTTTTTTGACATCATGTGATTAAAACATCATGAGCAAAACTGCCAAGCCTCGCCTCAGCCAGAACTCTACAAAGAAGTGCAAGGAAGCAGTTCTAGTAAACAAAAGTGACGGGATTTTGCAGTGATGAGTGACATCATCAGAGGACCGAAAAGCCCAAATGAATAATAAAAAAGAGATCTTGACGATGGGGGGAAAAAAGGAGGAGAGATGAGAAAGTCCAATCTGAAGTGATGATGTCACACATGATTTTTCTTTACAGAAACTTACAAAACAGGCAACTTGGTCCAGTCTCAGTGAGGAAGCCCGCATTCGGAGGGCTTTAGCTGACAATCAAACCACCACAAACACCCCGAGTCTCAGTGCACCAGTCACACATTCTAGCAGCAGCAGCACCTGCCACCCCCATCAGGTTTCTCCACATCGTACCTTCACCCTGCCTACACGCTGATCCTACTGAGAATAGCTACGCACACTGTAGAGCAAAGAAGATTCTCTCGTCGGGAAAAGGTGACCGAGAATCTGTTCCGCTCTACACTGTCTGCTTCTAATGTACTACATCCATGGAGCCACCATTGGAATCGCCGACCTTCACCACCCGTCCCCACCCAGCGGGATGAGAGCAGAGCCTCGTTTTAGTACTTTCAAAAACAAACGGAATCCATCCCTGCATTCACTGTGGCATTAGAGATGCAATACGTCGTATTAGACAAACCTGATGCCACACTTGCTGCTGGATTGGCTTGTGGCATTCCTTTCTCTCTCTTTTTTCTTTTAAAAAGTACTAAAACAGACTTTGGGAGGGGGGGATGAGACGAGGGATGCCTTTAACCTCAAGGGATTCATCAGGAAGGCTGCACATCGGCGATGGCTTCAACAGTTGTCTTACGTAGCGGCACAGAAGGCAGCACTCCCATCCTCCGTCTCTCTCCCCCAGCTCCTCAGCATCCACCTTTCCCTCCCCTCTCCCCCACCAGTCCCAGGTCTGACGATGGCAGCACGCCAACCCAGCTCTTGCCGGCCCCCTGCAGTGTCAGTTCCCGCCCCCAGGATACATGCCCCTCCTCATCCCCTGCCCCGGTCCGCCCCGTGCCCGTCCTCGCAGCCTCGGCTGGGGGAGAGCACAGGAGCGTACGGGGTCAGCTGGAAATCTGGATGGAGCTTGCGAGAAGTGACGACAGAACTAATTTGGAAGATGAAATGGGGGGGGTTACAAGGTCGCGCCTGAGTGGCGGTGAGGTGTAAATGTAAAAAGCACTTTGGAGTGCAGGTTGGACTACATCGATTACCAGTAAGTGATGTTGATGTACATGACTGCGTGCGGAAAATCTGATGTCTTTTGCTGTAATGCAAACACACATCCATAATACTCTAAATGAGCGGAGTCTTGTGTGAGTCTGCATGCATATGTGTGTGTGTGTGTGTGTGAATGTCGATGAGGATGCTAGCAGAGGCTGCATGCAGGAGTTTGGGGATGGTGATGAGGTCCCATCCTGCCCTATGAACCAAAGAAGTGTGTGTAGAGAGGAAGTGGATGGGCGTGTCTCTGGGACGTACCTTCCTGAGCCAGTGAGGCCGTGGAGGAGGCGGCAGCAGCAGAGTTGGTATGCTGCCGGCCCACTATTGGACAGAAATGCTACAGTTGGGAGGGGCTATGCAAATTAGGCAGGTCTATCTCACGCTGTTCAGTCGTGGGCCTAGAAAGCCACAGGGCGCGCTGGCTGCATCCCAGATACATCGAACACTTTGATAGAAATGAGCTACAGCAAAGACGTGCACCCCTGTGGATCTCTAGGCCCAGGGCTGAAATCATTAGCCATCGACTGACCAATTACTTAGAGGCTGAGCACAAGGCTTCAACGAAAACAAGTCGCAGACTGAGATAAAAAAAAAAAAAAAAAAACACAGAATCTTAGTGGTCACCTGTTTTTATAACCACCACACTAGACCCCAAACAAAAAAAAAAAGAAAGAAAAATCTCATTAAAGTCTAGGCTTCCTTCTCTCAAGCATGCAAACGCTCCACGGGCAGCAGAAAGAGAGGGACACATCCGCTCGCTCGCACACAAACACACACAAACACACAGGGAGAGAGACATTAGCATGGACAAAGACGTAACCGACACCCACATATAATCTGGTACATGACAGTATATCACATTCTAGCCTGCTAGGATAATTCAGGATGCAATGCTCTCATAATAAGAAAAATCCATCAGTATCAATACATTGGTTCTACCATAACACAAAAGGAGCTTCACGGTTCAATTCGGTTTAATGTTGTAAGCAAGCAAACTCCTGTGTGCACACACAAAAACATATTGTTATTTTGAGGATGAGTGGGTGAGTGTGCGTGTGTGGTGAGGGGGTTAAAAGAGGTGCAGAAGACTCTATCCACTCTCCTTCCTCCTCTCCCTCTGCATGTGCTGCGTGGGAGGCTGAGGGCGAAGGGCACACCCACCTGAGAAGTTTCTGGACACCAGCATGGTGGTGAGAATGGCTCCCTGGAGGAGGAGAGGAAGGAGGAGAGAGAAGTGAGGGAGGTATAATGAGCGCACACAGTTTTGTCTTATTTAACAGGATTTCAGCTTTTTTTTTTTCCTTTCTCAACTGTTTTGTATTCATTTCTAACGGGACGATAACATTCTTATCGTTCTGCTTCTTTAGCAGCGGCGCCTTCATCGCAGTGCAGAACGAACGCGGTCGAGGCACGCTGGTTGTTCTCTGCCAAACGGAATCTAATTACTTAACAAAAATGACTACTGTATCGCTGGGGAGATACGCCATTACATTAACTGTATATTTTCATATCTCTAAGTACTATAATGCAAATTAATTTAAATGATGTGACAAAACAAAATAGCTGTTACTTGATCCTTTAGTTTGCATGTGTGGCTGTGAATGCAAACTACAGCGACTCTGGCTGCGTGTCACTTGAAACGTTTCGACACCGCTGCCAACAGAGGAAGAAGCCGAGGTTCTTGAAAGGTTAAATGTTGTCGACTTCAAAACCCCTGAATATGTCGAACGCTTTTTTCTTTTACCTACATCTAGAACACCAGGCAGAAGCTTTAGGAGCCTGACAGTTTACTAGACTCATCCGTTTTCAGATTCAGCACCGAGTGTCCTGACAGCAAACATGAATTACAAAGCTTAATACTTTAATGATCACAGGAAACATAACTTTTTTAAATGATATAATGGATTCGGGCAGCTGGTCAGCTAATGATGCCAAAGTACAAAACTTATATTAAATTAACAGATGATTAGCTCCACTGCAAACGACTGCACCCAGTCCGCGTGACGTCTTAAAACAGATATATGGTGGGAAGAGCATCTGTAGTCATTGATGTATGCGAAGATAAAGGGCGAGAAAACAAGCAGGGAGGAGAGAAATCTAAATTTAGGACGATTACCTTGAGTTTTCGGCGAGCGTTGAACTTGCGGAGGCATTCGACAGTTTCCTGTCTGTGCATCATGGAAGCCACTGTAGAGCGGTGCTGTATGAGGACAGAGCAAGAACACAGCAATAAACAAACCCATCAACTCTCAGGGTATGCATTAATCTGCACAAAATTATAGCATTTTGAAGGCTGTAATCTTGTAATTCTCTAGGTAGTGCTGCGTGGATGCGTTTTATGTTCAGATCTGCTTTACCGTAACGTGTGATGGCAGAAAGTCTGTCGGACGGTGAGTGAACGAATACTTACGCAGACCCATGGGTGTTTGAGGGCCTGTTCGGCAGTGATTCTCTTGGCTGGGTTAATAGTCAGCATCTGGTTGATCAGGTTCTTTGCCTCTGGAGTCACCGTGTCCCACTCTGGGGATGGGAACTGAAGAAACAAGTAGGTGTGACAGTTGGACAGGACAGAAGGAGAGGACAGAGGGACGGATGTGATACACGCTTCCTGAAGACGTCTGCATCTGAGGGTTTCTGGCCAATTCGCACCATCTGGTCTCAGGTATAGATTTAATTTGTCAAAATTGGGCAGATACGAGGATAAAACTGGTCATTTAGTTTCTTGGATTTGCAAAGCTTATCCTGCAGGTCTGTAAACTAGGGATGGTCGCAATAAATCGACTTATACAAAGACGTCTCGTTCAAGGCGGGACTGTTGAGCCTTTATTTTCTGTTCTGTATGTAGGTTACGGAAAAGGAATTGTGAGGTATTGCTACAGCAGAGGTAGTCACAGGACTGCATCGATGTCCGTGCCGGCATGCCAGGATACGGCACACTGGACACAGATGATGTTGTGCTACATGCCACGCCTCTAGTAGCATTACGCCAGCTTGTTTCAGTGTGAACAGGAAACGGGGGTCTAATGAGAAGGTCTTCTTAGCCACGTTATCACGAGTACGTCACTGTTTTTTATATAGCACATTTAAAACAACGGCCAAAGTGCTTTCCGGTGAAAAAAGGCCAATCGTTACTGTCGCTAGGACCAGAGACACAAGTCGGTTAAACCAATTATTAATATTTCATTAATGTACAACACCATTTAACTGTCACCAGTCACTGGCCGGGGCTGCGGTCCTGTCAAACAGCAGCCGCGGCTAATGAAGGGATGTTGTAAACCAGAAAAATACAAAGTGGGACAGATGTCAGCTTGTACAACTAGTGCAGTTTGGCAATATTTCAATCGAGAAAATGAAAATGAGGCTGCACGTCAGAATAAACTGTCACATAACCACTCAACTGGAGCGATGAGTAACCATGTTCAGCGCAGGCATATGGGCGTTTATTTCATATCAACTGTGTTCATTTTTACTGAATGAGTTGCCGGCGTGTTTTGTAGGATGACGTTCAATATCAATACATGTTCAAAAAACATTTTGGCTATTTAAGAATGCAAATAATGGCTTTAACTGGTTCTTAAACATACAGATTTTATTTCAGACTATGTGTAACCTTATCAGCTACATTCTGACTTTCATGGCTAGTCCGTCGTTTTGAATTTCAATTTCAGTTTAATCAACAGGGAGACTTACTTCAGGAACATTCCTACTTCCAGACGTTTTTATTAAGAGTAAAACCTCCACAAACAGGCTGCGCTGTGACTTGATTATCCAGCGACTGAGAACGAAGGATACCCCCTTCTCCGAGTCTCTCTCTCTCCCTCGTTCACACACAGACCCCTCTGCAATGCGTCAGGGAGGCCCTGATAGGATCAATAGCTTTGGACCAGATCTCAATTGGACACTATTAAACATTCAAAAACTGCTTAGCAAAGCCCTGCACTGCACCCGTCACAAATACACAACACACACACACACACACACACACGGCATACTTACATCGTATGCCCCAGCTTTGATCTGCTGATAGAGTTTGTGTTGATCTTCATCCCAGAACGGAGGATATCCCACTAACAAGATATAGAGAATAACACCTGACAGGAAACAAAATGGGGAAAAGAAATTGAGGAAGTCATATTTGATGTGCTTTACAATAAAGAGAAGCTACAAGTGATACACCGCCCCCTTGGTTATAACGTCTACCAAGAAGAGCCTGGTTGTTCTCGTCAAAGCGTTTCAAAATCACCCCGTGTGCCTCTTTGACAACTTCGAATAACGCTTTGTCAGGCTAATCGGTTAATTTGACTGACGACGAACACCGCTGCTTGTTTCTCACCAGTTTTACGCAAACAAGCTCACTGCAACAGGTTAACAGGTTCCCAAATGTGAAGCTCAAACTCACCACAAGCCCATATGTCCACAGGCTTGCCGTAGGGGTCCTTCCTCAGGACCTCAGGGGAGAGATAGCCAGGAGTGCCCGCAAACCCTGCCCGACAGATAAGTCAGAGGATGAAATGAGCAAAAATAAAATCCCAACACGGGTTAACTTTTTTTTTTTTTTGTGCAGTCATATGAATGGTTCAAATCATAGTGACCCGTCGGACTGTTACGCAAGACCGGATTATGATAGTGTAGAGTCGCAAGCAAATGCACATGAATCATCTCGTCCCCGCCGGAGAGTCAGCCAAATGCTGGCAGCTCGGCCGTTAGCCAAGACACAATGACCTAAGCATGAACTGGAAAGTGGCAGTGAGCCTCTCAAGCTCCCACAAATATTCATTGGCTTCCAAGTGGCTGTGGATGTGTATCTACGCAGACGTGCTTGTATGAAAGAGGGCCTTTTCAGCAGTGATTCATATTCAGCGTAGAAACTATCTAGTGTTTAACACCCAGAGAGAATCACAGAGCAGGTAATGGTCCAGCACATTTGATGATGTGAGTGTGTCACTGTTTGTGTTTTCTTACCAAACCAAGCCTGCTGGTCTCCCTGCACTTCAATAGCAAGGCCAAAGTCTGCCAGCTTCACTGCAGCTCCCTTCATCTTACTGGCCAACAACAGGTTCTCAGGCTGACAGACACACAAACACACACACACACAGTGAAGCAGAATGTAGGACACGAGATCAAGACAGTGAGAGACAGATAGTTACAGGCACTCTTCAGTAAAGCTCTTTCTCAGAAATATTTATATTTGATGGATTCGACACAGCTTGTGTGGGGGTGGGGTAAAGGTGTGAGAAAGCGACGGGAGAGACAGAGGAGGTAGGAAGAGGATGGGTGGTTGAGAATCTCCACAACACCTTATATGGGCATGGGTTCGTAGCCATAGAAACCACTCGGGAGTCATTTAGGCAGCGCTGCAGACTGCATGCTAAATGGAAAGTGTACTTAGCAAGAGACAGTGTGTGTGGCAGCGTTCTAAATGGCCGTTGTTTGGGCAGCGGGACATAAAGGGCCGCAGTAAAAAGCCCACTCAGGATAAAAGGCCAACAAATCAGACAGGCAGCGCTCGAGGTTATTCTCCGACACAGAGTGCGCACACACAGAAAAGCCGCCCACACATGTCTCGGACATCCCTTGAGGTGGGTTTTTTTTTCCTCGCCGCATCTCGTGTTCTGTGCTCGTAATGGTACAATTTAATGCGTATAATCATCACCCCTCCTGCCAGCGTTATGATCAACACCTTAAGCTGCGTTTAGCAGAAAACTGGATTTAGCAGAGGAGCTCTCTTCCTCTACTTCTGCATTTGAGCCTATCAGCAATTTAGGACAACTCAAGTCCCTCCCCCGTTGTTGCACGGGTTGTGTGATGTCACATGGGTTGTCCTGGCAACTCCTGAGGTTCATCTATGCCTTCACCTCCTCCCTCATAATAGACCCCCCGCACAATAGCACAGAGTGTGTACGTGTGCTCATGCACATACATGTTGTTTGAGTCCTTGTCTTTTCCTTGCCATAGGTGAGAGAGGAACCCTTGCACGTGATCATGACTCACCATCTCTGTGCTCGACATGGACACACGTGCATGCGCGTGCACGTACGCACACTGGCACAGAGTTCTGGTCAAGGACAGACAGGCTGACAGATCTGACAGCAGATAGAGGAACAGAGGGAAAAGAACGGAGAGATGGGAGAGGGACGCAGGGGAAAATAAAAGGGATGGAGGCAAAACTGCAGCGAGGAAGAGAGAGAGAGAGAGACGGAGCAACCGAGAGCCATCTGTGTGTTGCCATGGCCACGAGCAGAGGTGTGTGAGTGTGTGGTTGTCACGGCAACGGGCAGCCACTCACCTTGAGGTCTCTGTGCACAATATCGTGCTGGTGGATATGATTGACACTCTCCAAGATCTGACTAATGCAATGGCTACGGAGAGAGACAACGGGAGAAAGACGTGTCAGTCGCTGCCCATCATCACAAAAACATCACACACACACGGCACATGATTTGACCGTCATGTGTCTCCCTGAAGCCCCGCCGGTTCTGGTGCCGCTACAGAGCCGATGCGTTTCGTTGCAACATTTCTAAGCAGTCATCAGGACAACAGGATGCTAGTGGTACTAAAAGAAGAAGTTCAAGCATCTTGAGTGTCGGTGAAAAAAATAAACATTGAACATGTAGGAAGTAGTGATGAAACCATTAGTCATTCAACATTTCTAATGATTCTTCAAGTCATTTTACAAGCAGAAATCCCAAACAGCACCTTGCCACAGTTTCTTGTAGAATAAATATTTTGTGGTATTTATAAAAAAAAAAAAAAAAAAAGCAGCATGAAGATGTCACTGTGAGTTTAAAGAATCTGCGACACAATCTGTCACTTGACGGACGAGACGGTTAAAGGTTGAGTCTGCGATCCTGAAGACAGACAGTTGATATTTATCTAATTGGCATATTTGGATAGGCAGCCTCTGCCCGATTTACTTTCCCCACAGCTCAAACAATAATGTCGTGTTGATCGGTCACTTTGTTTTGTTTTCAGAAGCAGGATTGAACACCAGCTCGCACGCAGAACAGACAGTCGGTCGTGAATCTGATCAAAGCGTATTGGATTAGAATCACATACTTCACAATAATAATTTGAATAATCGATAAGGAAAATAACCGTCAGCCGTGCTTCTAGTGGCATCCATAAAAGCCTTAAAGCTAAAAAACCCCCACCTACATTACGCTCAAATCCAGTGGTTGCACTTCAAACATTTACTATACAATCAGTATTATTTTTCAAAGATGTTATCCAAGTACTCTAGTTTAAATAATCAATACCCTGTAACTTGTGTGGGAGGCCTTGCACCACACAGTCAATAAATCTCTATCCCAGTAGCAATTTTAATAATGGGGGCGTCAATTCAGCTGCCACTAATACCATTGCCATTATTTCTCTATCCTGGCTGATGAGCGTGTTTCGCACTAGCCTGGTGAGTGTGCTGGCTCATGATGTGTCTTGTAAAAAAATTTTCCTACAAGACCATCTTATTACTGTCCTGCACGGCAAGGTGACAGGCTCTATAATGCCAGGATCCGAGGCTCATGTTAATGTCACATCTCTGGAAAAGGTGAACGGGTCAGGGGTCGAGCCCAGCTAGCCAAAGTGCGTCCCCGGGCTTAATCCACATCCACATGGCTCGGTTCCTGTGTGTTTCTGAGTGTGTGCAGGTGCATGTGCATTTCTAAAGCCCCCCACCCCGCCCTACCTCATGTGTTGGAACAGACAAAGACCCCCTAATCCAATTGTAGACAGAATTCATAAGCTGCACGCAACATAGCCACGAGGGAAAAGAAGGAAGTGAAGGAGAGAAAGCTCACTTGTCACAACGGCAAGAAAATATAAGCAAACTGTGTAAAACGCCCGATGCAATTCCACAAAAGTGACGGCGATGTCTTCAAACCGCTTCTGTTGTCCGATCAATATCCAAAAGCCCAAAGGATATTCAACTGACGATAACATAACGCCGATAAAAGCAGCAGATCTTCACCTGAGAAGTTAAAACTGACATAATTTGACGTTTTCGCTTGATAAAAACTCAAAGAATTAATAATTGATGCCTGCTGATGGGACGGAAAGTGATGCATTGGATTCAAGAGGCCAGTTTGTTAATGCACTTGTTGACTGGGGGTGGGGGGGGAGGATGTATTCCCAGACAAGAATACAAACAAACCAATTACATGCACCACTGTGCGCCTGTGCGTTCGCACTCGTAAAAACGAGAGCGAGCATCGATATGTTTAATGGGATTATGCCGCATGTTTGAAGCAATAACGTGCGCGCGTGTTTACGTTGGGATCAGATCAGAGCTTACCTGGCATCGGCCTCGCTGTAGTACTCCCTGGCTACGATGTCTTCAAAAAGCTCTCCTCCTGTCACCCTGGGAGGAGTCGGAGAAACAGACAGAGAGAGGAGAGAGAAGTTGTTAGCATACACAAACAAACCGCAGTCACATGCATGGATAAAATGTCAGAGTGTGTGTGTGTGTGTGTGTGTGTGAAGAATACTCACAGGTCAAAGACTAGGTAATGAAAGCCTTCCTCTGAAATGCTGTCATGCAGCCTCACTGCAAGAGGAAAAAGGTGGGAAGTGAGACTGAGATATAAAGACAGCGGTTAGGTAAATTTTTTTAAAAACTGCTGCAGTGCTCGACTGTTAAATCTTCCCCCCGTAAAGTGAAGCTAAAGGAGAAAACATCTGAAGAGAAGAAGAGGCAGAAAAGCCGGAGAAATAAATGTCAACGATGATTCGTATCGATCTTTCTTTACCACAGAGATATAAGCACATCCAGTGGTTAGTCAATTAACCACTATTTAATTCAACCCCACACACACCCTGCAATTACTGAAACTGAGTGATGGCGGCAAATTTCTGTACGGCTGGAACAGAGGAGCTACTGTGAGCAATCGATTGCTTGCGATGGCTTTAAACCCGTGTTGCTGTGCTTGGAACCGTAGTACGAGCCTGTCACATGCACACCCTCGTCAGTTAACTTATTACGGCCGTTTCTCCTTCAACACACCTGCTAATACAAAAAAAGCGGGAGCACAAGTTCCCCAGCAGATATGTATGCAGATTATCTGGGGCACTTCTTTTGCTTTTATTTGATGGCTGATAGTTTGGACAGTGACCACGTACAGGCAGAAAGAAGGTCATGACAAGCAACAAACTTTTACAGCTCATATAAAATCAAGACATGTGGTTGAATGATACCGTGGACACCTGCATGTCGGACACTTTGACCTAACTTTGACCGGCGGTGGCGTAATTGAAATCAGAAGCTGAGCAGTTAACTAAATGTTGATTAAAGATATTTGCAGATTCAACCACTCAAAGGAACCTGTATCTATCCTCAGTAGACGAGCCACAACACGAGACCTCTGTGAGTTGCTGAAAAAACAAAACTGCACATGTGCAATGAGTGGTCTGAAACTAGGCTAGAAAAAAACAAAAACACATCGTCACATTTCCTGATTACTGACGCTGAGAGAAGGAAGCGCTTGGTCAAGACCAGAAGTGGTGAATACAGTAATGAGCTCATACTGCCACGACGCTGCGGTTATGCGGTAACCACCACAGCTCTACTGTCAACCGAACTCAACAGCAGCAGAATGACAAAGCAGGATCCAGGCAGCGGGATCCAGGCGTTAGAGGATAGACTCGAGATGCAGCTTAGGTTTAGTGTCGGCAGAGAAACAGCTATCGTTATGTAAAATGAATATCAGTTGTATAATAAGATGAAGTAGGATGCCCCTGCAGCAAGAAACAAGAGCGACTGCTCTTTCCTCCTCCTCCCATCTTCTCGCTCTCCCTCCATCTGTCTCCTACTCCTGCTTTCGTCTCTCCATCTGTCTCTTTTTTTTGTGCCCTCTTTTGTCTAAAGTTTGAATGTGGACGATGCCAAAATATGTCAAAAAGAGGAGAAAGGACAAGAGAGAGAGGGAAATCTATACAGAGAGGGGAATGGAACGGGAAAAGTAGGTGAGGGGCGAATGAGTGCCTGGGGGGGGCCGGCGGAAAACTAGGACACGAGGAAAAAAAGAAATAAGGAGTGCAGTGGGAAAGGTGTCATTGATTTTGTCATTTCCCCCTCTAGTGCCCTTTAACACCCGTCTCCTCTGGACACCTCCATTAGAGCTGCATAATGCATTCAAGCTTTTTCATTCCCACTTTGATATAAATTATCATCACAAAGTGTCCAAAGAATCCCAAAACCAGAAAGTCAGTAGAGGAGAGGACATGTTTCACATCTCAGCAGGCACAACAGATATCTGCTCGTCACACAGTCAGCAAGAGGAAAAAAAGCTTCGAGATAACCTTCAGTGACGTCTCACTCCGACTGGGATCACTTATTCTGTGCTCCGACTCGACGCTAGTGATGTCATCTGCTTTTGTTTCTAAAAACTACACAGCTGGTTTGAACAAGTCTGCGTCCAAAAATTACACCCTCACTCAGTCCCTGTATGCAATCATCATAATTCTGCTGCTTCATCGCTGCCAGGTGTAGATTTGCACATCTATAAAATGTGACCCGACGCGTTGTGGGATTGTTAGCAGGAAGTAGCGCACATGCCAAGGACATTACTTTCTGTTTCACACGCCACCAAATGACAAACAGTAAACGCTCTATGAAGTCAATGGACGGCGATTTCAGACAGTCACCAGCTAACAAAACTCAAAGTAAGGCGCTGAGCTGGTAGCATCTTAATTCTGAAGTTTCCAATCTGCTGCATTTTCTAAGCTAACAACGTATTCTGCTGGGTGTTACATACTTGATGAAGAATCACATTTTTGATGATGTTATCAATAAGATGGTCACGTGCAGCCTGGAGAAACTCGAAGACTGTTTCTTAAAGCGAGAGTTGTGGCTTAACCAGCTGTGTTCAGGATTAACTCAGGTTTTCTACGGTAACTGCTGCACAGCTAACAGGCTAACGTCAGATAACGGACGGAAAGAAAAAAGCCAATCAACAATCTGCCTATTGATCAGAAAAATGGAGCCATCTTTTTTTTGTAGGATACCAATCATCAGCATAATAAATAGCTAATCTAGAAACCGTATTTATGGATATGCTTTTAAGATTAAACGAGGCAGCTTTGTGAGAATTAAATCTTTTTACATTATTTATAAATCCGCTGATATTTTACAATAAATGTACAAAAGCATCATATGGCAATCTTTTCATTTGGAATCACAATCCTCCCCACAGACGAGTTAAACTCACGCGGTCCCGTCATTACTTGTTTACACGTTTGCCTGCACACAAAGCTCGTCCTGTTCTCGCTCTGACCTCAGGTTGTGATTTGACAGTTTCATGGATGTTTGTCTGCTACGTAGAGAGTCCAACGAGCATCGTCCTTATTAAGTCACAACTGGTCACATTTCTGCTTCGCCCACGTGGTGCCACTCAGCTTGAACTCTGTGTTTAACGCCTCGATCTGTAGGATTCCTCTGAAAAGCCGCTCATATGCCAAACAGGATTTATTGAGCGTTCACGGCTTTTGCACTTCTTTCTCCATCGACGTAGCTCGGGATTAAAGGAGGCGACTTTGTGAGCATTAGATCTTTTTAGATTAATTGACATGATAGCTGGAATTTAAAGCATACAAACAACATTTTGATTACGCTTGCACAGACCAGCTCACGTCATTAAGCCACTCGTGGTGCTAATTATGCGACTGGTGATTGGCTTCTGAGCAAGTGCCTCTTTCATGTGCAGCTGGATAGAAAAACTTACAGTTGACAACTTGCCAGACTTAGTGATACAGACCTCCACCCAATTTACATGATTACATCATTCAGGTGGTTTCTGACCAGTTCTTGGCATCCCTGTGAGTCCCTGTAACTTCTGTATAGACCGAGCAAGCGTCAAACTTTAATATCTTTCTAGTTTCTCTGGGTTTGGATGCTGAATATTAATGATGGCAATAAAAGATGCATCCTTGAGATGAATCAGCATCAGATCATCCATCATCATATAGATGATTTTTCTGATTTAACCAACACTTCACTCAGGCTGAAGATGCATCTGTTCAGTAGAATCAAGAGTTTCTTTCAGAGTCCCCCCTCAGTTAGTATATATGGGTCGTCAGTTCCAGGATAAAGGCCGGATTTAAGTGCACAGATTGTAGATGCTTATTTGTGCATTAATGTAATACAGCAGAAGAATCATCACGGTATGCATGTAGCACACATTATACCATTTAATATGTCATGCATATTATTTTAGGACATTTTCTTAATTTAGCTTTTTTTCTTTTGTGTTCTACGAGTTTTATTCCAGCAAGGTGAAGCACAAACCGTTGTATTACACATATTAGGTCTAATAAATACTATTTGGAAATCCTAAGGGCCTCAGTTGAAGGGTCCAACCAAAAACAAAGTCCAGCACATAGGATTATTATAATGACTTTCTTTGGAGAAAGTCTCTGCTGCAGAAATCCAACGCTAGAATCGCATTAGGCTAAAGCGAAGCAGGGACGATTATACAGAACCGTTCGGTCACTTGAGCAGAAACTCACCGATGTTGGGGTGTTTCAGGAGACGGCAAATACGAGCCTCTCTCTCGAGCTTCTGATGGTCTGAGGAGAAAAAAAAATAATTACAGTTCAGATAAGACAAAGTGTTTAATGATGTGAGCAACACATTAACAGACAATATGACGATTCAATGCTTAGCAAATTAACTCAAGTGAGAATAACATTCATGCTCTCCATCTCCGGCGTTCTGACTGAACAAATGTTAAACCGCCGATTGCCGTTCATGTGTCGATAAATAGTTGATCACTAAAACAGTTCCTGTAAAACACACCAGTTTAGCTTCGTATGCATTTGACATTTTCCGCTTTATCTGAAGGATGACAGTCGAAACCACGACAGGAGAGATGGAGGAGAAGGAGAGATGACATGCCTGGTTGGAACTGAAAGAGGAACGTTGCAGTTACATGGTGTAGGCCTTCACCACGGAGCCACCGGTTGCCAAATATTCGCAAATTCAGAAGAAAAAAAACCCACACAGTAATTTTTGGACTCTTACATACTGTAGTGTTGCCAACAAAACACCCAGCAATGTCAGAGAAGAAGGGCCACATGTGACCAACGCTGCACTTGTGCAAAGCCTCCTGAACAACATACACTGTCATGATATACAGTTGGCTATATTTAGAGGTCTGTAGGAGTTCTCTCTGTCCCAAATAAAAATTTCAGTGTCTCAGACTGAAGCAGAATACGACTCAGGCAACGGTTAAGCCTAAAAAACTGCTACGAAATGAAAGACATGCATATACTTCTATCTGATATAGAGATTAAACGTGTGCAGCTCCCTTTGGAAGAAGAAAGAAAGAAAAATGTGTTTATATGCAACAAATTTGTTTCTGTGTACATGAAAAAAACAAAACATAATTTAGGCCACGGCTCTGACTTATTAGTAATATAAGCAGCTACAAGGTGCGTTTAAGCTCCACTGATGCCATGTTGACTTTTATTCATGTTGTAAAAACACGCGTGCAAATTAATAAGCCTGTGTGTCGCAGTGGGTGCAGGAGTTTGTACATGCATGCATGCATGTGCTTGTGTGTGTGTGTGTGCAGAGGGGTTAGTGTGGAGCCCAGTTATGGAACACTGCAGTATTTGCACTTCAGGCTGGGAGGGGATGCGAGCAAGATCTCACACACACACACACACACCTAATGTCCAAACCAACATCCTTGTTTGAGGATTTTACTGAATCCTGTAGCAGCATGTGTGTGTATAAGTGTGCACATGTGTGTTTGTGCGAGATCTCGGCCTGTAAACCACATGACATTTCTAAAACTACTCCATCTAATCACATCGGGATGGAGCGGCCACAACCATCCCACAGTCATGCAGCTGAGGTCAGAGGTCGCCTCGGGTGACTGTAATGAAGATGCAGAATGAGTCACTGTGTGGTTGTGTGTGTGTGTTTTATCGCTATGGTAAAGCCAACTCAACTCCACAGCTCCGTGGCGATTACACCGCACAGAGGCAGGCTCACCAAGATTTGCATTCATTTCCCCAATGCAGCAGCAGCAGCAACAACCCCAGATAAAATTCACATGCTGTTGCTGAGCAATCAAGTATCACCTTACCCAGCTGTTGTACAAATGCAATACAGTATGTACAGGCGTAGCAGCAGACGAGCACATTATTCTAAAATGCAGCATCGCTTTCTGCATCCCGCTGCAGATCGTCTCTGGCGGCCACGTCTACCCTTTTCTTCGCCCGATCTTCTTCAACTTGTTGCTAATTCGGATGAGTTTTAAAGCTGCAGTCAGGTGTTTCTAAGCTCCGCGTTCCATCTCCGCATCTAACCTCCCTGTTGTCTCCCTGCAGGTGTAGATTTCCCTCATCTGAGAGAAAGCGAGTGAATAAGGGAGAGACCTGAACCTCCTTCTAATTACACCAGTGACGCAGGACGGGGAGACAGACAGAGAGAAGGAGGGAGGATTACATGGAACGTCCATTTGCTAGAAGAGGATCACAGCTCCCCTGTGTGTGTGTGTGTGTGTGCGTGCATGTGTGTGTTTGTGTACAGCCGTCTACCCTGGTGCAGTGTCACTGCAGCACTCACTAATTCATTCAATCTCCTTATTTGTTGGTGCGAGAGTGTGTGGTAGAGGAAGACAGGAAAGAGAAGGCTGGAGGGTAATTACTGGCACTTCCTGCTGCTCTCTAATTGGCCATCTGCTTTGCCATGGGGCGGGCCCACAGCCATCTTACATCAGCTGAGAAGGATGGAGAGGACCTGACACACACACACACACACGCTGACACACACACACACTGACTAACTGACAGTCTGACTGAAGGCTTGAGGATCCAGTTCAATCTGTTTCAGGCAAGTTTACATCCAAACTGTTAGGACTGGGAAACACTGAGAAAACCAAACAGAGCATGTCAATACCGACAATGTGACAGTATTCTGGGGATGACATTTGGTGTTTTCACTTGTCTTTTGCGAGAGATGACTCTACGCTGCGTTGGGAATGCGCTGGCACCACTTCCTTGAGCTTTCTAGTACTTTCAGACTGTTCCGGTACCAATATCAAACGCCTCCTTTTTTTTTTTTTTCTTTTGCCCGATTCCTCACACTGTAAATCATCAAAATGTGCAACGAAAATCGTTCTTCTATGAAGCAAGAAGCACAAACTTGCTGAAAAAACATTGCATCATTTTGTTTTTCTGCTGTATATATTGCAACATGGAAAAAAAAGCAAGAATTTTCATCGGATGACTTGAATAACTATTTGGAAAGATTTTCTAGAATACTTAGCGTGGCTTTGTAGGGGAGCTGCATCTGCATAGGAAAAATAAAAACTAATTTTAAAAAAGCTGAAAATGTACTCTTTACGGTGAAGCATGCGAGCCGTTAGCAACCTTACTCCTACGGCGTGATGCTGAAAGAGCTCTGTCTGTTGCTTCACAGCTTTGTGGTGTCGATTTAAGGGGTCAAACGGTTTGTTGTGTTGCTTCATGTCGTGGCAACAAACTGCACGTCACATGTTCTCTGTCGCCTAAACATGTCCATACCACCAGGGTTAGGGCTGCACAATGACGAGCAAAATAACTAGTTGTTCCCTGAATTCAGAGACAGAAGACATTTATATGCTTTCACATTTAAACGAAGAGCGCTGCCATGATGTGCTGCGTTCCCGCTGATGCGCGAATCTGTTCATCAAAATACGACGTAAGATAATCCTCGTCACCTAATTTCCTCATCTCCTTGAGGCGAAATACAGACAAAACCGTACCCCAAAAGGCCTCGATTGCTAAATGTCTGTTAATCAATAGACACCCTACAACTGAAATCTTCCTTCTTAGTGTTTCTTGCTCGTTTCGCTGCGCATACGTGAAGCTTGCATGTCAGCAAACGCCACGTCTGGTTAGTAAGGCTAAAAGAAAAAACTTGTACATGAACCCGTAAATTGCGTTAAATGACAGATATCAAACAGTTTTAACATAATGTGCTTGCGGCTATCCGCCTAACCTCGCATCGCATGTGCGCACCCCAGTTTTGATGCTGAAATGATAAATCGTTGAACGTGGCTGCTTTTTAGTTCATTCTGACTTCACACAAAGGCCAAACAAATGATGTTGTCTAAAATAAGCTGAACTACTATAAGCACACAGGAATATGAATTTGAACAACTACAATTACTAATGCGACCTTTTTCTATGACTGTTCAAGCACGCAAATGGGTCACTATAGAAGTCTGTCAACAGAGATCCAGCATCCCTTACATTCACACTGAGGAAAACACATACAGTCATTCATGTTTTGGACTCAAGGATAAAAGCTGGGGGTGAGCATTTATTTCCATTTGACTCAGTGAAGACTGTCCAGCACCCTAAAACTGGAAAACAACGGAACAAAACACCAATTACAGACCATATTAAAACTACATCATCATCATAACCACTCGAGACGATGCTGTCTCATACGCACACTTTCATTATGCTGTTGTGTCTCGCTTGCTCGCTTCTCTTTCTCTGGCAAATAACAAACCTGCCCTTCCTCCGTCCTGAACAACGCCAGCTACCTGTAATGTGCTGCGGCTCTATCACCTGTCAGATCAAGCCAACGCCAATGTGGACGCACCCTTCATGCGCCACTTTATAAGACACTTCGAATACGCCTGTGTTTTCTCGCTCTAAGCTCCACCCGAAGCCTCCTCTCTCCTCGAGGTACATTTAAGTAAATTGAAGACCCTCCACGATGGCACGGTGGGTACGATTTCTGAGCCACGAGAGTAGAGAGGACGCAAGTTAGCGTAATGAAAAGCCCACATAACATCACTTTAACCCCGAGTGTCACGTAGAATGTCTTAAAAACAGTCGCCTATCTGGCAGTACGACGCGCTCACAGGGGAAAACGCTTGTTAAACTTATATTGGCATAATCTGCCTCTTTAATCAGAACTTGGATTTTTGCAGTGTGATGCGAGCGCACAATTAACGGCTGTCGCCACGGCAACCGCTACACACAACATCAGCAGTCCTCCCGAGACGCGCTTTTCGATCACGAGCGGGATCTCCAGACGCCCTGACAATCAGACCGAACTGTCGTTTGGTTTCACAACATCACCGAGTCCAACGACATCGTCTGTTAGCACGAGAGCCGCTGCCAGGTGATTTAACACGTCTCCTGACTTAACTTTTCACGATTAATAAAAACATGCTGATTGACGAGCCATTACACGTTCAAGTCGGCTTACAATAACTCGTACAGCTGGTATGACGTCACCGCCTTTTTTTTTTTTTTAAGCCGTTGCTCTGTCACCGGTTTTCATGACTAAAGCTGGGAAGGTAGCTAGCCACATAGAAGGACGACGGCTATTCTTAAACCTGCTGACAAAGCTGTGAAGGGTCGACTGAGTCTCAAATCGAGGGAACAGCAACTGAACCTCAGTGGTTTGCTATGATTATTATTAATATTATAGAATTCGGCTACTGCATGTGAAAAAAACAGGACTGAAGTGGAAATTTGGGAAACTGCTGAGAAACAAGTACAACTCGTAAAGTAGCACAACTGAAATAAATTTCACCGGGGCAATTATGCAGCCGCAAGGCACTGACTGTAAGACACAAAGAGAAAGTATTAAGGTAGTGCATTAAAGTGGATGGTCTGTCTCACTCTGCCTCACACACACACACTCTCTCACACAAACACAGACAGTGTTGCAGCAGACAATGCAGCAGCCATCCACTTTCCACAGTCACTTCAATCATCAACAACAAAATAAAACAGAGCACTCATTCCGTGCAGATAAACTCGCATTACACCAACGCAGCACTTTGTGATATACGATTTGTACCTCGCATACCATTTGTAACAGACACGCCGACTCATTTTATTCCCTGAATCCAATTTATTACATTTTTTGTTTGTGCAATTTTGAGCGGCATATGTTGCTTTAATATCTATACTCATTCTTCTAGCATCTGCCAATCATTTTTAAGCGAAGCCACAACAATTAAGAGACACCTGTTTTTTCCGGTGTTGACAGTAGTCAGGTGTATGTTGTTGGGGGATGTTAGTGCTTAATTGTGCATGTAGAACTGCACTGCCTGTAGACGAGACTATCCCACAGCCGGCTACCTGCATCCATCCCCGACGTCGTGTTCCTTCCTTCTTTGGTTTCCTTCCTTCCTTTCCCTCCCTGTCTCCCCTTTTCCCCTCCCCCCCTCCTCAGATTACTGCAGTGTTTACCAGAGCTTTGAGAGACTTACCCACCAGGCCACGCGTGAGGTCATACTCGCCCCATCGGGCTAAAAAAAACCCACCCAAATCCTACCGGGCAAGCTGCCTGCTCACGCACCGGTCGCCTGGTGTGGACGTTGTGTGTTTTGTTTGCGTGTAGGTGCGGGTTGCGTCAGCGAGGCGGCCTACTGCAATTGTTTGCAAAAAAAAAATAAAAAATTCTCTTCCTTCGCTCGCTCTATCGCGCCTCCTTCTCTGTCTCATTTCACCTTGCTTCCCCGGTGTGGAGTGTCACTGAACTCCTTGCAAGACTATACTGTTTAAAATCCTCCTCCTCCTCCTCTCCTGGCCGGCTTTCTTCTCCCCTGGCAAAAACACACACATACACAGGCCTACATTGTGCTCCCTGCCTCTGCAAACAGCCAACAGTTTTCTGCTGAGCCCTTACTTTTTTCCTTGGTGGGACATTAATACCAGAAGCTGCCCGACGTGGACACTTGATGGCAGGGATAGAACAATAAAGGCATTACAACACTCTCACACAAAACAGACATGCTCTATTAGTGTAAACCCTGCTCCCTCTGTCTCGCTTTCACACACACACACACACACACACATACACAAATGCCATCAGACACAGACAACAACAGGGCAAACAGGGAGGCGCCTATGGAATCCGTGGGGTCTTAGTGGTTGATGAGATACATTTAGCATAAGTGGATTAGCCTCAATACAAACCAATCCCCCTTTGCAGAAAGACAAGAGAAAGGCAATGAGGGAGAGAGGCTCGTCGAGAAAGAGAGACACACGGAGGTAATGAGAGAGTGCAGGAAAGGAGAACAAAGGAAACCAGGTGTGTGTGAACGCCAGGAAGGAGTCTGCGGCTCTAATTTGCCAGATACAAAAAAAGGAGAACGCAATTAAGCATCCGAGGCCGAAGCCGGGGGGAGGCGCTGACACGGTGACATAGGCTCACGTCATCACGCCACACCGGGCGTGTACACGTGGGTGTGGGTCTCCGCGGGGAGGCGTACAAGCGAAGCAACAAATACAACTCAGGTGTGAAGCGAAGCGAATGCGCCAAGCTGTCAAAATCCTCCGTATGACCCTTCCGCGGAGAACTTTTCAGACTCTTTAGCCAATTAATTGCACAAAGCAGTCGTCCAATCACGCCACAGAGAAGCAAAACTACTTCAATGCAGTGTTTATAAAGAGCGTCATTAAGCTACGAGGAGGTTGCTGATAGGAACTCCCAACAGATGACCGAATAGAAAGGGTTTTTTTTTTTCCCCACTATTGGGATTGTGGGTGGAAGTGCACAGCTGCCGATAAGGCCGGGCAATATGACGATACACACAGCGTAAACCGGCAGAGATTTTGCTGCACAATACCAGTAAAGTCATAGCTCTAACATCTCTGGTGGGCCACTGCTGGAAATCGATGAGCTGAACTGCTTTATTATTGAATTTGCAGGACTTGACTATCAATAGGAAGGAGGGTGTTGATTTGTCAGGAATGTAGTTCACTTGATTGGCCACAAACAGGCATTCAGACTTGGTATTTTATCTCGGAACTGCTACTCAAAAGAATTCCCAGAAACTTCAGCGTACGCCAATGTAAATATTACACATTGTAGAGCTCGACTTTATCCATCAACAAAACGAAGCAAACATATCAGTGTCGGTGTGAGTGTGCGAGGTGTTACCATACCTCTTGCAGACAGCTTCTTAGTGTTGATGATTTTTGCAGCATATTCCTGTCCTGATGACTTCTTTACACACCTACGCACCACTGAAAAAGCTCCCCTAAGAAGAAAGAGCATAAACAACCAAAAATCAGTTCCATTTCACATTCTCTCTCTCTCTCTCTCTCTCTCTCTCTCTCTCGCACATACACAGAGTGTGACATTTGAAACTGCATCCACACATGTGGCAGTGGTTTGTTTGTGTTTGCAAACAATCTGTCGCTCTTTCTGGCTCACAGTTTGGCTTTTTTTTTTGTTGTTGTTTTGTTTTACAATCATTACTATCACAGCATCAGCGTGCACAACCTGAAAAAGGTGGGACAATCAACGAGCAATAAAACCCGCTTCAGCCTCGGATTAGAAGTGAATGACCAAGTTCCTCTGCTAATCTTTGATATGCACACAATACAGTGCAACCTACTGCCCCAGAGGAAACTCAATCTGCAACAGCCGGCGTCTCACACAATACAATAGTCAACATTTAATACAGGCACACAAAAAAAGGAAGTGCATAATAAAGGTACAGAGCAACTGCTACTCTGAGGAGTTTCATATTGACCCAAACGGATGCTCTCCTCGCGGCTCTGCTGATTGTACAATTTTGAGCATCACAGAAGAAGTAATTATACGTGATTTTCATAGTGCCTTGCAGCCTGCAGTTTCTCACCCTGCACAGTTTTCCTGAAAGAGGAAGGGTTTTTTTTTTTTTCTACTACTCTGGATGATATATGGAGGAGTGCTGCTGCTGCTTTCTGCTGCACTCTGCTCCTACCACTCTGCTCTTAGTTTCAATTATTTACCAGCAAATGAGAGGTGACAGGTGACACAAGTACAAGTCGGTGCCTTTGACGTTAATAACCTATGACGGAGCAAAATGCATTAACGGACGGCCGCAGAGACATAAGCCGATGTGAGTGGTCAGTCTGGGGAGGAGTGAGGGGCAGCGGATGGATCCACTGTGGAGGATGTTGTGTAGGTGTGTGCCAGTGCAGTGGCTGTGTGCAATCAGTGCCATCGATTACGGTCAATTATCAGAGACAGAGTGGAAATGGCAGCTGGAAATTAAGGCCAGTGCATCTTTATAAAGCCAGTGTCGCCGATTTGGGTAGAGCGCGGGGGGAAAACAGCCAGCGCCGGCCAAGAACAACAGATGCTGCTGCTGAAACAGAGGAGGTAGTGGCCCGGTTTTACTTGCCGTCATCAAAATACCGAGAAAACACGTCACCGGCTCCTACACGGTAAACGCCAAATTGCCGTGATGACCCCTCCGTTGGAGAGCCGTGCGCGTATTGATAACGCGGCGGCGGCGGCGGCGGGGCTCGGCTGCTGCTGCTGCGCGGAGCCGATAGAGCATAAAGCCAGCCCCGGACCGAATAACTTCCTCATTAAGTGATCCAGGGGTTCGTAGCGTTACTCAACACGGTTACACAAATCATCTGCAGCTGCTCGGGAGGGGGGAAAGAAAAAAAAAAAAAAAAAAAAAAGTGGTCGGCCTAGTTAGCTAGCGACCGCAGCCTCAGGTCTGCCGAGCCCTCACGGAGCTGTCAGACCCGCGGGCCGGTGAAATGTCACAGGGCTACGTCTCTGGCGTCTCTCGGGGCCCCGCTGGCGGGTCCGGCAGACCAGAAAATACCGGCTAGCAAACACGGAAGGGCCAACAGCTGTCAGTGCACCAGCCTCCGCGCTGTTTATTCATCCCCAAAAGACGCAGCGCTAGTTGGCTAACTCGGCTAGTTTATCAATATCAGCATGGTAGCTCGTTGGCTAGTAACTGAGCGTTAGTGCGCCGTCTCCGTTACTGCGGGGGCAGCTAGTTAGCCGATAGCAGCGGGTATTTAGCCTGACTGCACCACGACAATAACACACTCCACTTCACGCACAATGACAAATCATTCAAGCGCACAACATGACTGGACTGTGAGCTATTTAGGCTAACTATCGCCCGCTAGCTGGCTAACCAGAAGGCGAGGTTGCGGGGGTGGGGGACAAAACGACAAGACAAACACGATGCACACTGTAACACCGCGGCGGCGGCGGCGGCTGCTGCTGCTGCTTACTTCCCGAGCTCCTCGTACAGCTGGTACTCGTCAGTGAACCGGGTGGAAGTAGCGGTGGTTGCCATGGTCGGAGCCGTGAGCAGAGGGGGGGAGCCCGAGCCTTGGGGTACGACGGCGGCTTGGCTCTCGTACGGGGTCCGAGAGGAGGGTAGCCTAGCCTCCGACACTGGAGCACCTTTCTGACAGGCAGGCAAGACTGAAGAGGAGAGAGGCGAGCAGAGACGGAAAGGGAGGGGCTGGGGAGAGGAGGAGGAGGAGGAGGAGTGATGATGATGATGGTGCGTGTGTGTGTGTGTGTGTGTGTGTGTGTAGTAAAGGGCAGGAATTCTCGCGAGAATAGACTCGTGCAGCACGAGATCAGGGCCTCCAGTTCAATGAAGTCACTGAAAATGTGGGGAGATGGTGCTGAATTGTTTCCCTCATTTATACTGAATAAATCCCATTTTTCAGCGGTGGGTGCATTACATCACAGGGGCAGGACTTATTAGGTAGAAGTCAGACTGCAAAACAGCTTTAACATCCAGTTTCTGCCTCTTGCATATATTGCAGGGAAGCATCCCAGCAGCATTTTTTTTTTTCTTTTTACTGCACTGGCTGGGATACACCCAACCCTGGGTCACACCTCACTGCAGCAGAGGCAAATTGTGACACACACACACACATACCGACACACACTCCGGGGATCAATATTGATTAATGCAGGTCTTGCTCTGAACACAGGAGGTCTTTCTGAACCACTGATTTTGCCTTTTGCGTTTGAGAGCTTCGCAACAAGAGATAAAGAGAGCGAGAGGAGAGAGAGAGAGAGAGAGAGATCGGGGATGGGAATAGTGTGACTGCTGTATCAGGTTTCCACTGACGAGCACGCACCTATGTTTTTCCACAGTGTGAGTGCTGTTAGCTCGCCGGCGCTAAAAGATGGTGTCACACAGATCCAGAGTGCCTCACTAAATGTTTAATGTGGCATGAGTGGGAGGCCATCAGAGGACGGGCGGGTGGGGCTGGAGGGAGCCATAGAGCTTTGAGAGTTACAGTTAGAGGCCCGGTGTTTGTGTGTTTGTGTGTGCGGCTGCCTGCTCAGCACTCCGAGGTGGGACAGCGAACACCACATAGACACTGTCAGAGAGGTGGTGAGAGGGGGGGGAGAAAGAAAAAAAAAATGGTGATTTCACTTCAAAATCTTTATGCGTGGTTGTCAGCGTGGGAACACAAAGCTGAAAAAGTTCAAATATTACGAGGCCATATCTGCAAGTGCAGCCTGCCGAATAGGTGATGGAGAGCAGGGAGAAAGGAGGCCAGCATGTTCGCGTGTGCGCATGTTCGTGTGTTCTGTGGAAGACAAATGAGCACTGCAACGTAGGCTACTGGCCCTCTCCTGCCCTCCTTTTCCTACGTGCTAACCCTGCTGCCTCTCCTCCTCTTCCTCCACCTCCTCAGCCTCCACAGAAGTTATATAATGGTGAACTCCTCAGCCTTTGTTATCTCACACCGACCACACACTACGCCTTGCCCGCTTCATGAGAGACAGAGGAGCAGAGGAGGGAAGAGGAGTGAGCGTAGAGAGAGAGAGAAGAGAAAGTAGGATGGTTTCAGCTGAAATCGGCCAGGAAAGGAAAAAAAAAAAGAAAAAAGTCTGGCGATTTTTCATATTTTAGTTTTATTCTTGCTATTTTATTACAGTCATCTTCAACTCAAAGCACCTTACGGGCATCATACTGTGCAGCTTATATGTGTGTTACATCCGGTCACAGATCACCACATGACTGAGGCTTTTCTCTTCATCTTTCAATGAAAAAGGATGTTCTTGCAGTTGTGCTTGAATGCAAACTGGCCGTGGACTAGATGATCAGTGACTCAGTGGGGATGTCATGCATGTAGTGAATCCACAGCTGCAGAAACTCATCAAGTCGGCTTTTTTTTTTTTTTTGTCCTCCTTGTGGCACCGGTTGAAGTTCTCTCTGGATGTGCAGAGCCAAAATATCCCATTTCTGTTTCGTAGCAGACTCCAACGGCTAACTAAAGCTATGTTTGCGTCCAGAATAGACTAATTGTGCAATCAGAGGAGCTCCAGTAGCCGCGATACATTTAGGCATGACTTTTCCTTTGTTGTGACTAATGAGGGTGAATATGCCATCTGTTACATCATCACAACTGAGAGGGTGGACGGGGCCAAGAGCTGAGTCATGACACTCCCATTCTTCAGTGCTTTTGGAGAAAATCATCTGGCTGGAGGGGTGGAGGGGGGAAGTGAATGAGTAACACGCTCTCTTCCTTCAGCAGATAGCTGTCGTGATGCCCGGGAGCAGTAAGCTACTGACCCCCAACTGCTCGGCGGAGTCTTGCCGTTGACGGCCGCGGCTCCGTTGTGCAGAGAAAACCCAGGCGTCAGTGTGTGTGTGTGGCTGCATGGGCGGAAAGCAGGGTGTTGCTGATGAAACGCCAGTTTGCTCAGTCAGCTCGGACAGGATAAATAAATAATGGTACGTTTTTGAGCATCACAGCAAAAAGCAGAGGCGACATGTACTCAGCTCCTGTTTTTGATGATTGCAGAGCTTAGTCATTTCAAGTTTGTGTGGTGCAGGGGCACTGCTAGGAATTCAACAGCATCTGTCTCATGGAGCTCCGGTTGATTGGGGGGTACTTAGGGGCAGTAACATGACAAATATTAAAGACCTCCCCTGGTGAAAGTCAAGCATCGTGCCTTGTTAGCATGTCCATATGGTGCTTTTTATATGCCAGAGGATGCATCAGGAGTGAAATAAGAATTCAGCACCATGTTTAAGCATTTCCACATTAAAACTGCAATGTAGAGATGACAGTCTCAAAAACACCGATTCAGACTTCCTGGGTTTCATATGTAACAAACCTAAGGAGCCAGTTCCATCAGCTTGCAGCTTTTGTAACAATATTCTCATTCATAATCAGTTTCCAGGTCTGACATCCATCCAGTCTGACATCCATCCATCCATCATCTCTACACCTTAATCCTCACTAGGATCATGGGGGGCTGGAGTCTATCCCAGCTGACTCAGGGTGAAGGCAGGTTCACCTGGACAGGTAGCCAGTCTATCACAGGGCTACACTTAGAGACAGACAACCAAGCACACTCACATTCACACCTACGGACAATTTAGAATCACCAATTAACCTCAACATGTTTCTGGACTGTGGGAGGAAGCCGGAGAACCCGGAGAGAACCCACGCTGCACGGGGAGAACATGGAGACTCCACGCAGAAAGATCCCGGGTGTCCTCACCGGGACGGGAACCGGCGACCTTCTTGGCGACGGTGCTAACCACCGAGCCACCGTGCAGCCCCAGGTTGGACGTGTATGTGAGGCGTGGGGCAGTCGTAGAGTCGTGGGTGAGCTGGTGTGCTGAGCTGCAAAGGTATAGATGTAACGAGAGGCTTCATTGATCTGCGAATTCTCTAAGACTCTCTATAAAAGATGGCCTCTATGTTGGAAAAGCGAAGCCAACGAGAAGGAGAATTGACCCTGCATTCTTTTAAACAGCCAGCAGGAGGCGACTGTATTTGGTTGCAAATAAAAGTCAGACTCTATAGAAGTCTATGAGAAAATGGTCCTACTTGTGATGTAACTGGTCACCTCAGTAGGTATTCTCCTAACAGGTTTCTGGTCTCAATGGCTAGTTTATAGACTTTTTGAATGCAACATGATGTTTATTTTGTAAGTTGTGATGTCATTTAGAGTAAAATAGGCGATAAAGCAAGGGGATGTTTTAGGGCGGGGCTACCTTGTTTCAAAAGACCAGTAATGTGACAACCAATGGGACCGCACCAACCAGTGGGTGATGTCACGTCGGCCACATCCACCTTTTTTATATCGGGTCCACGCACATTCTAGAGGAAGTGATGCTGCAGAACATCCATTTAATAAACACAGCGTTGAGTTTTTAGGGGTCTGATCAATGGCCAGAGAGGGACTTTAAAATAAACATTAAAGCACAGTTCCACAATTTTTCAAGCTTGTCTTATAGGAATAGTTAAGTGTTCATGGACTTTTTGCTTCCTCCTGCTCATTAGAAGCCCCTTAGTAATGTGTAAGTGATAAGGGAGTGGGGAAAAAAATGAATTCGGTGCAAAAATACGGTGCAAAGTGAATTCTTTTTAGTGCTAAATTACATCAACATTCCTCCACCTCGGCTAACAGCACTGTGGGTAAACAGAAAGAGAAAAAAATCACCTTGAAAACAGAATAACGGTGGAAGATATCCACTTGGTTTGTCTCAACCTGAACTGCAGATACTGACTTCAGGTTCTGGACCGTACTTTTTGTTTACACAGGCGGAGATCTTTTAATGTCAAGCGTGACCGTATGATTTGAGCGAGGAAAACTGTGTCAGCGTACGACATGTAAGCAGAAATGGAAGGTGCTGCAGATGTTTTGGTGTGCAGTAATTTAGGATTATGCACAATATAAGCAACGATGAAGGTCTGACAACTACAGACGTCAGGGGAGGTTCAGGGTCAGATGTGAAAGCGTGACATGATTCTTTCATGATTCTGTGTTTTAATGCATTTCTTGTATTTCCCTACAAAGTTAATTATCTTTTTCTTTTCTCCTCAACACACTACTGCATTCTCTCCACTAGAGGTCAGCTGAATGTGGTGCAGCTACTGCACCTGCGAAAGGTGTCACAATTTACAACTTAAGGTCATTATCGGTCGCTATGAGCAACGTTTGCAATGAGACGGATGGAAGAACAGCTCCTAACTGCACAATAATAGTGAATATATAAGAGAAGAAAGGTGAACAGTGAATTATATTAAAAAGGATAATTTGAGTTATTTTGATTTAGCGTAATCTGCACTGGCTAATTTACGAGGCCTACACGAGAAACAGCTTTTCCCTTTCATGTCACTTGCCCTGTTGTTATTCAGTGCGCTCAGGTCCACACTTTTTATGTTTCGTGTCGCCCATGTTTCATTTGTTTTGATTTGTATTCAGGTCCAGTTCATCCTCTGTCAGTTGGAGTGGAAGACACTAGAAACCGAACACAGTGAAAAATTGCCGTTTCTGCATTGCAGGCCGCCGAATCTCTGTGGGAGGACAAGTTTTCTTCCCGGTAAGAGACCTGTTACTTAAGTCTGTAGACAACGTATATATCCATAAGCAGCATACTATACAAGGTAGGTCAAGAACTGTCAGCATTATAGAGAGAAACCCAACAATTCCCCCTTGAGCGAGCTCTTGGCGACGGTGGGAAGGAAAAGCAATGCGCAGTTTATCTCGCCCGAGCCAGTCGAAGCAGTCAGCCGCCCACCCTGAATCTGCTTCTGTCGCAGGGTTCTTCCTATTAAAACACAGTTTTTCCCTCCCTGCTGTCCTCAAGGGGGAATTGCTCGGCTTCTTTTTACAACACTGTCAGGTCTTGACCTTGCTATGCAAAGTGCCCCGATATGACAAACAGCATGCTATGATTTGGCGTTATGCAAATAAAGCTGAAGTGAACTGAATTGAATCAGTCAGAGCACGTACTGTACATGCAGCAAAAGCGGCAGAGCGACAGCTTGGGCTTTGCTTCCACCCTGTGTTCAACAGGCAAAGCTACAGCGAGCAGGACGGAGCGTCAAAACAACCTTATAAGGAATACGCTTGTCCACTGCACTGAGGCCACACTAATGACAAACTATGTGCATGGGTTTTATATTGCGGCAGATGGGATGAGGTTTATTATTTGCATTCTTTAGGTTTTTGACTCAATTCAGTAAATTGTAAATGCAAAACTGACCCCTGAAGCTCAATATTGTTAACAAGGAACCTCCATTTTCATACCTTCAAAAGGTAATTATGCACAGCTGAAAGTTATTTTTAAGAAGTTTTCCCACCCAAAAACTAAACCATTTAGTTTGGCCCTAATGAGCCGTAATGACTCTGAATGTTAAATATTTCTCATTTTGTTCTATAAATTCTTTTTCTTGCTTTTGCCGTCAGTCCACAGCTCTGAAAAACTGGTTGTTTAAGGTAAGATAAGATATTCTTTTATTTCTTCCCACGCCAGGGGAATTCAGCAGCAAAATTTTAAAAAAGAAGAACACGGCAGCAGTAAACATATACACAATAATAATAACAATAGTTATATGTACAATATATACAAAGGATGAAAAATGAATAATACAGTGTTAGTAAAAGTGCAAGATGCCATCAGTGCAAAGAATTACGTCCATGTACACTGACTTGTAGAACGTTAACGATGACTTCACCTGAGTGAGTTTGTAAGCTTTTACTAGATGACCCGGAGTGGCTGAATCGAGATGAGCTGAGGACATTTGGTGATAAGAGAATGGTTCTGACCCATCCCAAGCTGGAGAACACAGCCAGAGAGCAAAGAGTGGAGAAGCCGGTGCTGTGGAGGTCACAGCAGATGTTCTCTTTCGGGTGTCATATAATTCAAGATTCAAGATTCAAGATAAGCTTTATTTGTCACATTTATACGCGCAACAATGTGCAGTGAAATGTATGCAAATGTAAAAATTAAAAATAAAACAAGTGTTAAAGAAGTATATATACAGTATATATAAGTTAACTCAAGGTAAAATGTCATACTGTTACAGTTCCTGAATGCCCAAATCCTGGATGTTTTGGCTGTTGGTGTTATTGTAAGTACACATTTTAAGAAGTAATTCAGGGTTCTTATTCCCACAACTTAATTAAATGCATAGTTGCAAGAAAAAAAAAGGAGCTACAGCGGTGAGAATGTAACAGTTGCCAATTTTACAGCTAATTTAGTCCATGACACTTAAACATTTCTTTCAATTAATGTGGAAAAAGCCACTTAATTTTTTATCAGCTTGTGTTTATGCTACCGATTTTATTAAGTAAGTGTTTGTTTAAAATCGGCTAATTCTCCGAACGCAATGTAGTTTGTTGGTTAAACATAATTTCATTTTAAAAAATGATGCAAACTGTTGTGTTCATGGGCTGCACTGTGGCTCGGTGGTTAGCGCCGTCGTCTTGCAGCTAGAAGGTCGCCGGTTCACAGCGGGATCTTTCTGTGTGGAGTCTCCATGTTCTCCCCGTGCAGCGTGGGTTCTCTCCGGGTTCTCCACCTTCCTCCCACAGTCCAGAAACATGTTGAGGTTAATTGGTGATTGTAAATTGTCCGTAGGTGTGAATGTGAGTGTGCTTGGTTGTCTGTCTCTAAGTGTAGCCCTGTGATAGACTGGTTACCTGTCCAGGTGAACCTGCCTTCACCCTGAGTCAGCTGGGATAGACTCCAGCCCCCCTAGTGAGGATTAAGGTGTAGAGATGATGGATGGACTTCTTCTTCTGCATCACACTGAGACGCTTGTCTTTAGAAGGCCAGAAAGCCCACAACCATACTTTACCATTTTGCAGCCATCTTTAGTCAAATATTGATTTTGTCTTGTGCTTTTATGACAAAATACCTGCAAAACTGATGACAGCCTCCGAAGCATTGGGAAACATTTCACTGCTTTTACAGTCCAGTGATTCTCTACTTTAAGTTTCTACACGCTGTGATTTATAGTTTTGATTTCAGGATCCCATTTCTCTTCTTCTTCTTGTTTTTTATGATTAACACTTTCCTTTTTGTTGCCTTTACACTGTAAAGTACTTGATAGTCTTGTTTTGCGAAGGTAAATAGTCGTGGGCTTGCACGTATGTAGCGAATTTCAACCTTAGCTCAGCTCTGCAAAGTGTGTTTCTCGTTCAACCAGTCGTGCAGGCGCACCGTAATTGTTGTCGAGCTGCCGTGTTAGGCTCATGCCTGCCGTTATGAGCAGCTTGGCTCTATCACCTCAACCACAGCATTCTGTAGATGCCAAATATATGAATAAATGTATTATTGTAACATGCCAAATATCAGCATGTTAACACTGATGGCATGTGGTGGTTCAGCTTAAAACTAGCACTTTGTCTAAACACAGCCTCGCAGAGTTGTATCAGTAGAATATTTAAAATTATTTATCAAAAAGAAATCTGTCTGGTTTTTGTAAAAGCAAACCTATTTGGATTTGCAGACGTCTGTGCGTGAAATCCTGACATCGAGCGAGATTTGCATGATGACGAACTAAAAACCTGTCCTATTGATTGTTTTCAAATATTATAATATGCGTTTCTGTCAAACTGAATTTAATTTTGCTGTAAATGAAACTGTCGCTCTCAAACCGCAGACAGGACCAACTGCTTCCTGTTTTTCGTCGCAAAGGAAGGAGGGGATTTTTTCATATTCGAACACCATCGTGCTCTTAAGCAGGAGTGTGAATCAGAATTTTACAGTCGCTGCTGTGGTAGGTACGCGTTTCCCTTATCTTCTCAGATGTTACTGTCACTGAGTAATCCTGTATTAGGTCTGTTTTTGAAGGAATGCTGTTTGTTTTATAGGGGAGTTACTGATTTTCTGGCTGGAAAGAGTGCCCACGGAGATGGTGATGGCTGACGACGAGTTTCAGAAACCATGAGAAGATGAAAGAACTGGGGAAAAAAATGGAGCAAGAGATTGTTGCTGATATAATAAGGGAGGTATCTCAAGGTGAGGATGCACATGTAAAGAATTTGTATCATCACTACAAATCATTTAAAGGAAAAAGACTTGAAAGATTATTCAGCTTTAAAATCAGCTTTAAAACGGATCTGACTGCAAACAGCTACCACACTGATAACCTAAAAAGCAGCAGATATGTGTTATTATTACTTTAGCGATCTTCTTTCTCCGTTCATGATGCTTTATATTTATGACGACAAGCTGATAAGACTGAGTTTTGTGGTTTCTTTCAGAGTCAATTCCTTCACCTCAGGCTGTGGTTGATCATTTTCAGCCCAGTTTCTGTGCTCAGACTGGTGGCAGCGTGGTCTCTCCCTCCATCATTGGTTCTCATGTGGGCAACATAAACATTAACATCACATCAACGAGCCGAGGTAGGTACAGCAGACACCAGAAGTTTACATACACTGTATGAAAAGACACACAAACTTTTTTTCTTACTGTCTGACATTAAATCAGACTAAACTTTTCCACTTTTAGGTCAGTCAGGATCACCAACATTATTTCTATTTGCTAACCGCCAGAATAATGTGAGAGATAATTTTTTAAATTACTTTCTTCAAAGTCAGAAGTTTACATCCACTAAGATGCCTTCAAACTATTTGGGAAAGCCCAGATGATGATGTCATGGCTTTGGCAGCTTCCGATTGGTTAATTGGAGGCACACCTGTGGATGTATTTTAAGGCACACCTCAAACACGCTGCT